AAAATCAGGGCAGTAAATAAAGAGCAACACCCAAAAAGCAGGGGAATTCTAGACAAGAACCAATCAGGACCAGCTAACACCTCCCAACAAAGGATTCCCCCAGGCAGCAACCAGCCAGGTTTTGAAGTTGCAAGGCCATTAAATGCGAATCAAGGTGGCCAATTGCAACATTTACACTTGCCTCAAGCAGACAAAAGTTCTTTCTCCCACCCTGGACATTCCACAGATATATAAACTCAATTTTCCTCATTTCCAACAGGCCTCACAACCTCTGAGGATGCCTGCCATAGATGTGGGTGAAACGTCAGGAGACAATGCTTCTGGAACATGGCCATACAGCCCGGAAAGCTCACAGCAATCCAATAGGTTTTGTGTTTCATCATTAGCTATTTGGTCCTTTGTCCCCACTTTCTGGCTTTCTTTACTTTTCACACGGCTTTCATTCTTAAAGTTGTGATTCTATTGAGTATATTTAAGAAGCAGCCCCACAGAGCTCTGGTATTTAGAAAGTTGGATCCAGATATGTTGTTCCCGGAGGCAAAGAAGGAGAGGCATCTTGTTTGTTCCCTGTACAACAGCTGGGTGGGCTGGATTTTCTTCCATCTGTGGGGATGGGACAACCTCCACAACACCATGAAGGAAGGGAGCTTGTTTGGGGGTTAGAGGACAGATTGTCTGACACTGTTATAAGCCCCTTCTCCAGCAGGCTGCAGCTACTACCTGTATGTATTTGTTGCCTGAGGCAACTTTGTCTACTGGTTACACAGACTCATTGTTTGTTGTGAACAGATTTCACAGTACAAGTCTTTTATGTTTGCAGTCTTGAAGACAGAGGTGGTCTGCCAAGACACACACATACACACACTACAATATAGGCAAGCCCCAAGTTACAAATATCTGATTTATAAATGACTCATAGTTAAGAACGAAACAAATCTACTCCCTGGGAAGAGAAATTCACTCCTGAAGGAGTTATCATGGGGAAGAGGTGTCGCCACTGAGGCTTTATCACCAATCCTTGTTTCTACAACAAGCAATTTTTTTTCAAAATCCAATATCACAGGGACAGAAAGTGAGGCGAAATCTTCTGAGAAGGGCCACAGACAGAGAAACAAAAACCAGAGATTGTTAACCCTTCCCTATGCTAGTAAAGGTAAAGGTTTCCCGACATTAAGTTTAGTCGTGTCCGACTCTAGAGGGTGGTGCTCATCTCATTTTCTAAGTCGAAGACCCGGCATTGTCCGTAACACCTCCAAGGTCATGTGGCCAGCATAACTGCATGGAGCACTGTTACCTTCCCGAAGAAGCGGATCAATTGACATTTGCATGTTTTTGAACTGCTAGGATGCCAGAAGCTGGGCCTAGCAGCAAGAGCTCACCCCATTCCCCGGATTCAAAGTGCCAACCTTTTGGTCAGCATGTTCAGCAGTTCAACGGTTAAACTATTGGACTGTAGACAGAAATAATTATTCAGATACCATGGATCACCAAAATGGCAAATAAATGGGCCCTTCAGGAAATGTAGCCTGGAGTAGAGGTCAAAATGGCTGTACTGCAAGAAAAGTTTTAATTTGGACGTATCATGAGATGACACAACTCTTTGGAAAAGGTAGTAATGTTTGCTAACGTGGAATCCAAGTAGGAACAAAGAAGCCCACACTAGAGATGGATTATATTCAATCAAAGAAACCATGGTCCTGAGTTTGCAACTAGTTCTGATTGAAAAAAAAAAAGCTAATAAACAAACTTCAGATAGCCAAAGGAAACACATCTTTCTGTTATTTGGAACTGTTTCGTTGAATATAGGGTGGGAGAAAATGTTAGTCTTCCCAAAGACATGCAAGATTTTTTAGCTTACCACGTAAAGAAACACTTTTGACATCTTTTGTATTATGCTGACCAAAAGCTCGGCGGTTTGAATCCAGGAAGCTGGGTGAGCTCCTGATGTTAGCCCCAGCTTCTGCCAACCTAGCAGTTTGAAAGCATGCAAATGTGAGTAGATCAATAGGTACCGCTTCGGTGGGAAGGTAATGGTACTCCATTCAGCCATGCCGGCCACATGATGTTGGAGGTGTCTATGGACAACGTTGGCTCTTTGGCTTGGAAATGGAGATGAGCACCCCCACCCCCCACCCCAAGAGTCAGACCAACTATACTTAATGCCAAGGGGAAACCTTTACCTTTAATTGAAAAGCAATTTTGCATACCACTCTCAAGGTGAGGGATCAGGAATGATGTTACAGTATAAAATCAGTTTTTAAAAACTCAACACTCACTACAAGAAATGCTACCATCTTTGTTCTTACATTTCAGTGGTTCCTGCAGTTCATGGGTGTAATGCAAAAAAAAAAAAATGACAACAATTCCTTTACAGGAAAGAGTATGTTCTTCATCCAGGATGCTGCCAAGAAAAAAGCTGGATTTTGTTTCCTAATATGAGAACGAAATGAGTAGAACAAGCTAATGATTGAAATCTAAATGCTTTCTTCTGCGCACATTTGGCAGAAGAAACCTTTGAGAAATCATTAAAATGTGTCGGGCACACAGAGTTCCTTGTACCACGTACTCAAGGAATAAGAGTAATGAACTAATTGAACAAATAGTGTGACCACATCAGCAGGAGTAACAGTAATTTCCACAACTAATTGCAGGAGAAATAAGGCTGATATAATTATTGAATTTTTGTTGTATGTTATTTGTGTTTGTACTCTGAGTGTGGAGCCTCCAAAAATATACGTAAAAAATAATTGCGTAAAAAATAATACGTAAATAAAGGGAGGGTTACAGATGAAAACAGAAATGTTATTAATCATCTTCTTTCTGTACTCTGCAATTTCTTCTCCTCTATTCTGTAAAAAAATAAATAATCAGAAAGCCCCCTTTCACCCAAAAGCCTATAGTCTCCTAATACTTTAGTGTAAGCAAAAGAACACCTACCTTTCAACAATTTTGAAGATACTCACTTACAGAGTCTCCCAACTTTGCACAGCAGTTAGGCCTTTAAAAGCTTCCCATCGTGAGATTTAAGTCTATATTTGTGCAGGGAACTCATGGGGGGGGGGGACATGAGGGTGGAGGTTATCCCTTGTTTCCTCAAGTGCAACCACTGCAATGTTGTGTCCAAATACATTTTGGGGTTGGCAGTTGGAAAACTGGATAAGGCTTCTGTATGACTGTAGTAGGGAGAATTTTAGCATGTGATACTTGTTGTCTGGTTGCAACACAACCAATGCCTGCTGACATTCTGAGCAATCATTAAATGTACAGGAGCTGTTTTTAGTGTGACAACCCAAATACAAATACAGAGAGTGAGTGAGTGAGGAGCTTAGGCTTATGGGAAAGGGGAGACTTAATCACACAAGGGAGGTAAACTTGCAATGACCATCACCAAAAGTGGTGGCCCTCATCGCACAACACTGAACATCCCACTACTAGTTTGCCGCCTTTTTTTTTTTTTTTTTTACAATTAATCAGTCCCTGCTCTTAATGGGAAAACCCTGTCAATAGCTGCCAATCCAGGCCAATCTAAGGTTGTTAATGTTTCTTCCAGCAATTTTAACCTCATCCTTGCATTCGTCAAGCGCTGCACATTGTATGATGTGTTCTGCATACAAGTTGAAAAGGTTGAGTGAGAGTATACAACCCTGCCGCAGGCCTTTCCCAATCTTGAACCAGTCTGTTGTTCCATGGTCAGTTCTTACTGTTGCTACTTGGTCCTTATACAGATTCCTCAGGAGACAGCCAAGGTAATTTGGTATGCCCATACCACCAAGAACTTGCCACAATTTATTATGATCCACACAGTCAAACCCCACCCAACCTTTTTAACTTGTATGCAGAACACATCATGCGATGTGCGGGGCTTGATGAATGCAAAGCTGGGGTGAAAATTGCTGGAAGAAACATTAACAACCTCAGATATGCAGATGACACCACTCTGATGGCCGAAAGCGAGGAGGAGCTGAGGAGCCTTCTAATCAAGGTGAAAGAAGAAAGCGCAAAAGCCGGGTTGCAACTAAACATCAAAAAAACCAAGATTATGGCAACAAGAATGATTGACAACTGGAAATAGAGGGAGAAAATGTGGAGGCCGTGACAGACTTTGTATTTCTAGGCGCAAAGATTACTGCAGATGCAGACTGTGGCCAGGAAATCAGAAGACGCTTACTTCTTGGGAGGAGAGCAATGTCCAGTCTCGATAAAATAGTAAAGAGTAGAGACATCAGACTGGCAACAAAGATCCGCATAGTCAAAGCCATGGTATTCCCTGTAGTCACCTACGGATGTGAGAGCTGGACCTTAGGGAAGGCTGAGCGAAGGAAGATAGATGCTTTTGAGCTGTGGTGTTGGAGGAAAGTTCTGAGAGTGCCTTGGACTGCGAGAAGATCCAACCAGTCCATCCTCCAGGAAATAAAGCCCGACTGCTCATTGGAGGGAAGGATACTAGAGACAAAGTTGAAGTACTTTGGCCACATCATGAGGAGACAGGAGAGCCTAGAGAAGACAATTATGCTGGGGAAAGTGGAAGGCAAAAGGAAGAGGGGCCGACCAAGGGCAAGATGGATGGATGGCATCCTTGAAGTGACTGGACTGACCTTGAAGGAGCTGGGGGTGGTGACGGCCGACAGGGAGCTCTGGCGTGGGCTGGTCCATGATGTCACGAAGAGTCGGAGACGACTGAACGAATGAACAACAACAACGCAGTCAAAGACTTTAGAATAGCCAATAAAACAGAAATAGATGTTTTCTGAAACTCTGCCTTTCTCCATTATTCAGTGGATATTGGCAATTCGGTCTCTCGTTCCTCTATTATGCCCTATTTCAATGTAAACCTATTTAGAAATGCCAGAAACAACTTTTCATGGCCACTGGGGGCAGAAGGAGGGAAGCAAGATGCTGAAACTTTAGACCAAAACATCCTGTCCTGGCTTCACCCAATCATCAGCCTGCCCAGGGTGGCGCATGCGCATGAGGCGCGAAAGCGTTCTCCCTTAAACGCCTCCGCATCACGTGGTATCACCAAGGAGGACGTCCACGACGCCCGGAAGGAAGATGGCGTCCGCTTTGGCGTCGCGTCGGAAGTAAAAGGAAACGGCCTCAGGGACATTCTATTTTTTGTTGCAGTTAGTTGGCGCCAACAAGGACTGGAAAGGGAAAAAAAAGGCTGGCATTTGGCTCAGCTGGTTGCGGAGACGGTAAGAAGCGAGATTAGTTATGTTTCAAGGTTTCTCCCCAGGGAAGGGATGTTTGATTGCGTCACGTTTCCGTCTTTGCACACAGAGATAGGAAGCTGTAGAGTGACATTCACGTGGTTTCAATGTTAGACTCGAGTGTGTTTTACAAAAAAAAATAAAATAAAATACATGTGTTAGGGCTAAAAGACAGGAGAGAGACTGTGTGATAATAACCTACTATGGACTGATGGGACGATTTCCCGGTCCGTTCTGATAACGCTACATTTCCTCTGCTGTGAAGCTCTGGGGATGAGAAGTAGCACTTCTGATCTGTGATGGATTGCTTCAAGGCATAGGGCTGCCCTTGGAGACTGTAAAGAAGCTTCTGTTCATGCAGACTAGTTGTTAGGACTTTGTATCTACATAGTAGTATAATGCAGACTAACTACTATGGGTCTGGAGAACAAGCCCTATGAGGAGCGGCTTAAGGAGCTGAGCATGTTTAGCCTGAAGAAGAGAAGGCTGAGAGGAGACATGATAGCCATGTATAAATATGTGAGAGGGAGCCACAGGGAGGAGGGAGCAAGCTTGTTTTCTGCTTCCTTGGAGACTAGGACGTGGAACAATGGCTTCAAACTACAAGAGAGGAGATTCCATCTGAACATGAGGAAGAACTTCCTGACTGTGAGAGCTGTTCAGCAGTGGAACTGTCTGCCCCGGAGTGTGGTGGAGGCTCCTTCTTTGGAAGCTTTTAAACAGAGGCTAGATGGCCATCTGTCAGGGGTGCTTTGAATGCAATATTCCTGCTTCTTGGCAGGGGGTTGGACTGGATGGCCCATGAGGTCTCTTCCAACTCTTTGATTCTATGATTCTATGAATGCTATGGAGCCCTGGGGGCTGTAGTTTCACAAGGTCTTAAGACTCCCCTGCCAAAGAATCCTTGTGAATGCCTCAACAAACTACAACTCCCAGGACTTCATAGCAATGAACTGGGTTGAACAATGCATTCTGTAGGATGTAGAAGGCCAATTGTGGTCCCTTCTACACTTCTATATAATCCAGATTATGAAAGCAGATAGCCCAGGGCCCTCCCACACAGGCCCTATATCCCAGGATCAGATCCCAAGTTTTCTGTTTTTTTCCTGATTATCTGGGACTCGTATAATCCAGTTTAAAGCAGAAAAACCTGGGATCGGATCCTAGGATATAGGGTATGTCTGGAAGAGGCCCCACATTATCTGTTTTGTAGTGGATTATGTGAGTTGACACTGCCATATAATCTAGTTCAAAAGCAGATTATCTGCTTTGCAATGTAGAAGGGGCCTGTATTTCCCTTTCAAAAATATCACATGTTCAGTTTCCAGAGGAAACAATGTGTGTTCATTTGGGTTGTTGTAGGTTTTTCGGGCTGTATGGCCATGTTCTAGAAGTATTCTCTCCCTGGTTTTCACCTGCATCTATGGTGCTTCATTTGTTCGCATGCACATGCACTCTTATTTTTAAATATCTCATAAGAAAAATGTACCTCCACCATTTAAAAAAAAAATATGTCAAAAGCAACTTGAGAAACTGCAGGTCGCTTCTGGTGTGAGAGAATTGGCCATCTGCAGGGACATTGCCCAGGGTACGCCCGGATGCTTTACCATCTTGTGAGAGATTTCTCTCATGTCCCCACATGGGAAGCTGGAGCTGACAGACGGGAGCTAACCCTGTCTTGCGGATTCGAACAGCCAACCTTCAGGTCAGCAGTTCAGCACTGAACACCTTTGTTTACCCTGGCCTTTGGGAGATTCTTATAACATGCTAGGGAACATGCCAATAGGTGCATAAAAATCCAGGCTTTAGTCTATGACTTTCTACACAGTCACCTTCTACACGGCTATATAATCCAGATTATCAAAGCAGATAATCCACATTATCTGCTTTGAACTGGATTATATGTGTCTACACTGCCATATAATCCAGTTCAAAGCATAATCTGGATTTCATATGGCAATGCAGAAGGGGGCAGAGTGCTCTCACATCTGCTTGGAGCCTGAAAAAGTTATTTTTTGACTGCTAGAATCAGCTTCCAAAACTTTCAGCTAGTTTGTCCAGTGGGAGTTGTAGTCCTAAAAGCCCCAACTTGTTGAAGCTGTGTCAGAGGGAGGGACCAGAAAGTAGCATTCAGAATTAAACTGGAAGATGAATAATTCACAAGAATCTCAGTCTGTGCTGTTATTACAGCTGCTTGAAAAAGTGGAAAGTGCTTGGGAAACATCGGTTCTCTAATGCCATCTGGTGGTTTCATAGGTAGATTACTATTGTTGTTGTTGTTGTTCATTCGTTCAGTCGTCTCCGACTCTTCGTGACCTCATGGACCAGCCCACGCCAGAGCTCCCTGTCGGCCGTTACCACCCCCAGCTCCCTCAAGGTCAGTCCATTCACTTCAAGGATGCCATCCATCCATCTTGCCCTTGGTCGGCCCCTCTTCCTTTTGCCTTCCACTTTCCCCAGCATAATTGTCTTCTCTAGGCTTTCCCGTCTCCTCATGATGTGGCCAAAGTACTTCAACTTTGTCTCTAGTATCTTTCCCTCCAGTGAGCAGTCGGGCTTTATTTCCTGGAGGATGGACTGGTTGGATCTTCTCGCAGTCCAAGGCACTCTCAGAACTTTCCTCCAACACCACAGCTCAAAAGCATCGATCTTCCTTCGCTCAGCCTTCCCTGAGGTCCAGCTCTCACATCCGTAGGTTACTACAGGGAATACCATGGCTTTGACTAGGCGGATCTTTGTTGCCAGTCTGATGTCTCTACTCTTTACTATTTTATCGAGATTGGACATTGCTCTCCTCCCAAGAAGTAAGCGTCTTCTGATTTCCTGGCCACAGTCTGCATCTGCAGTAATCTTTGCACCTAGAAATACAAAGTCTGTCACGGCCTCCACGGTTTCTCCCTCTATTTTCCAGTTGTCAATCATTCTTGTTTCCATAATCTTGGTTTTTTTGACGTTTAGCTGCAACCCGGCTTTTGCGCTTTCTTCTTTCACCTTGATTAGAAGGCTCCTCAGCTCCTCCTCGCTTTCGGCCATCAGAGTGGTGTCATCTGCATATCTGAGGTTGTTAATGTTTCTTCCAGCAATTTTCACCCCAGCTTTGCATTCATCCAGCCCCGCACATCGCATGATGTGTTCTGCATACAAGTTAAAAAGGTTGGGTGAGAGGATGCAGCCTTGCCGTACGCCTTTCTCAATCTTGAACCAGTCTGTTGTTCCGTGGTCAGTTCTGACTGTTGCTACTTGGTCCTTGTACAGATTCCTCAGGAGAGAGACAAGGTGGCTTGGGATGCCCATCCCACTAAGAACTTGCCACAATTTATGATGATCCACACAGTCAAAGGCTTTAGAATAGTCAATGAAGCAGAAGTAGATGTTTTTCTGAAACTCCCTGCCTTTCTCCATTATCCAGCGGATATTGGCAATTTGGTCTCTCGTTCCTCTACCTTTTCTAAACCCAGCTTGAACATCTGGCAACTCTCGCTCCATGGATTGCTGGAGTCTTCCTTGCAGGATCTTGAGCATTACCTTACTGGCATGAGAAATAAGGGCCACTGTACGGAAGTTTGAGCAGTCTTTCGCATTTCCCTTTTTTGGTATGGGGATATAAGTTGATTTTTTCCAGTCTGATGGCCATTCTTGTGTTTTCCATATTTGCTGGCAATGGCATGCATCACCTTGACAGCATCATCTTTTAAGATTTTAAACAGTTCAGCTGGGATCCCGTCATCTCCTGCTGCCTTGTTGTTAGCAATGCTTTTTAAGGCCCATTCAACCTCACTCCTCAGGATGTCTGGTTCTAATTCATTCACCACACCGTCAAAACTATCCTCAATATTATTATCCTTCCTATACAGATCTTCTGTATAGTCTTGCCACCTTCTCTTGATCTCTTCAGCTTCTGTTAGGTCCCTGCCATCTTTGTTTCTTATCATACCAATTTTTGCCTGAAATTTACCTCCAATGTTTCTAATTTTCTGGAAGAGGTCTCTTGTCCTTCCTATTCTGTTGTCTTTCTCCACTTCCATGCATTGCTTATTTAAAAATAGTTCCTTATCTCTTCTGGCTAACCTCTGGAATTGCGCATTTAACTGGGCATATCTCCCCTTATTTCCCTGTTTCCTTTTGCTTTCCTCCTTTCTTGGGCTACTTCCAGTGTCTCAGCAGACAACCATTTTGCCTTCTTGGTTTTCTTTTTCTTTGGGACGTACTTTGTTGCCGCCTCCTGAACAATGTCTCGGACTTCTGTCCATAGTTCTTCTGGGACTCTGTTTACTAAATCTAGTCCTTCAAATCTGTTCTTCACTTCCACTGTATATTCGCTAGGAATGTTAGTGAGATCATATCTAACTGGTCTGTGTATTTTCCCTGATCTCTTTAGTTTTATTCTAAATTGGGCAATAAGAAGTTCGTGATCTGAGCTACAGTCAGCCCCAGGTCTTGTTTTCACTGACTGGATGGATGTCCGCCACCTTTGGCTGCAAAGGATGTAGTCAATCTGATTTCGGTGTTGACCGTCTGGTGAGGTCCATATGTAAAGCCGTCTTTTAGGTTGTTGGAAGAGAGTATTCGTTATACACAGCGAGTTTTCCTGGCAAAATTCTATCAGCCTGCGTCCCGCTTCATTTTGTTCTCCCAGACCATGCTTGCCTGTGATCCCATTTGTCATTTGACTTCCCACCTTGGCATTCCAGTCTCCTGTAATGAAAATAATGTCTCTTTTTGGTGTATTATCCAGTAGGTCCTGCAGATCCTCATAGAACTGATCTACTTCTGCTTCTTCAGCAGCTGTGGTTGGGGCGTATATTTGGATCACTGTAATGTTGAAAGATTACTATTAAAAACCACAATAAAGGAGACAAATCAAAATGCTACATAATAATAAGCAAACATTTATTGTTGCAGATTCTCAAGCCATTTCTGATTTATGGTGACCCCCAAGGGCCCTTACATACATTTTATTTAATATCCGATATTTCTACCCCGTCTCTTCTCTACCCCCAAAGGAGGACTCGGGACGACTTACATTAGGCAATGATTCGATGCCGCTTCATATAATAATTTTACAATAATACAACACAATTAAAATATATAAAGCATTAATTAAAACAGCCATATAACCAAGAATATCAAGGCAGATAATTCACAATATCTACTTTGAACTGGGTTATCTAAATCCACACTGCTATGTAATCCAGTTCAATGTGGATTTTATACAGCTGTGTAGAAGAGGCCTAAGGCAAATCTATTGTGGCATTTTCTTTACAATATTTTTTCTTCATATCTCTAGCTCACTCTGAGGTCGAGAGAGAGTGACCTAGCTAAGGTTTCTGTGACTGAGTGCAGATTTGAACCCTGGTCTCCAGAGTCAAAGCCTGGTGTTTAAACTGGTACATCTTGTTGAATCTCCTTAAATAATAATTTATTCTTCAAAATAATTTCACAGAAATGGACAGCTTTGTTGAAGGCTTGGAAGATGAGGAAGGGCAAGAGTCCCCAGAAGAAGAAACAGATAATATCTCTGCGCTGAGAGCAACAGATGTTCCAGTTGCAGAACTCTATTTACCTTCCCTCCCAAAGAATTATCACAGCCCAAGTAAGTGTGTCATCCTAGGTTATGGAAACATATTTCAGTTTCTTGTCATGGACATTTAACCATGTATACTTGTCTAGGATAATGACGAATGGAACGGCTCTGGAATATGATTTTGGACTACATGGTTTTAATGTTGATGTTTTAACATTGTGGATTTAAATTGTATTTGTTTATTTTATTGTATGTACTTTGCAGGATTGAATCATTGCTTATTGTAAGGCCACTCTGAGTCCCCTCTGGGGTGAGAAGGGTAGGGTATAAACGTGGTAAATAAATAAAAGTTTGTCTCTTGTTTAAGTCGAGGGCAGGTTTTGTTGCTAAAATTATGGATTTTGCTTTGCCCCTCCCTTTAAAAATACATAGAGGGAACATCCTTGAGAAGAGCTAAGGAGAAGGAGAGATTCTTGTTTATTCGAGGGATTACAATGGAGGGATGTAAGTTGTCTACTAAATCTATACAAATACAGATTAGAAATGGAATATAAATGTGGAAAAAGAATGTGAATGTAGCTGGGGGGGGGGGGGGAAGGCGAGAAGAAGAGCAAGAAAAGCAATCTGCTTCTATTTGGGAACCAGCCTGAATGCAGTGACAAGAGGCAAATGCGGGAAGCTCTGCCATTTTTAATAGGGATCTACTATATAGACCTTGGGCTCCCTGATGGCGCAGTGGGTTAATTTTATTTTATTTATTTATTTTGGACTTTTATATCCTGTCCTATCTTAACCTTCACAGGATTTTACTTGTTTCTGAAAGGTCAAGAAGGATGCAGCGGATCTAATTTCACTCGGGAGGGAGTTCCATAGCCGGGGGGCCGCCACAGAAAAGGCCCTGTCCCTTGTCCCTGCCAGATGCGATTGTGACAATGGGGAACAATGAGCAGGGTCTCCTCAGATGATCTTAGGGCCCTAGGTGGATCATAGCTCTGAGCTGTTGAACTTGCTGACCAAAAGGTCAGTGATTCGAATCCGAGGAGTGGGGTGAGCTCCTGCTGTTAGACCCAGCATCTGCCAACATAGCAGTTCAAAAACATGCAAATGTGAGTAGATCTTCCCACTTCTGCGGGAAGGTAATGGCACTCTATACAGTCATGGTGTTTAAGGAGCTCCATTGGCTGCCATTCATTTTCCGGTCCCAATTCAAGGTGCAGGTTATCACCTATAAAGCCCTAAACGGTTTGGGACCCACATACCTTCGTGACTGCATCTCCTTCCAGAAACTTGCACGTTCCCTTCGATCCTAATAAATGCTGCAGTATTTGTGGTGGAATAATTATGTGTTTATTTACTGTATTTATACCCCGCCTTCAGAGTGGCTTTACAATAGGCAACAATTCAATGCCACATAAAACAGACATATGATAAAATAAAAAAGTACATTAAAAACATAAAATTAAAAAAACATATAAACATTAAAACCAATTATTTAAAAAAACATATACACACAATCTGAAGTCATAGTCCAAGAGTCGTTCCAGTTGTGATTGCACATATTCCATCCTCATTTATTGTACTTCGTTACTATCCAGAGGCTTATAAATGCAGTTAAGAATATTTTTAACTTTGGTTTGAGCATTTATAATTGGAGCAAATGAAATACAATTGTTACTTCTACCCATGCTATATCCAGCTTACATGTTGTTGTTTTCCTCCCTGTAAATGTCATCCAAATCCATCATTGCATTAAAACGCATGCTTTTGACATCAAATGTATTTCTTTTTGACTGTAGCAATGATGGGTTTGGAGCCTTCAGAATTTCATAAGTCAAAAGATGACTGCTTACGGTGCATCCATGATGCCCTCTTACAGTCTCAGTGGCAGAGGGCTGCAGAATTAATGGTGAGCTATCTAGAGATGTTGGAAAGCACTAATTGGGCCCGACAGCGAGAAGCATCTGAGGTAAGCAAGCTAAGTTGTCTGACTCTCAAATAGCATGAACGACTATGAAAGGGGGCATTATTGAAACCTGGAGGCCGCAATAACATTACTGATGTGATGAAAATTGACATCATGCCACCTTTTGTTTTGTTTTCAGCCAATTTATGGAGTTTTTGTGTGAATTGAAAGTATTTAAGGTAATTGTGTCTTGGGTGCATCTACACTGTTGGATCAATAATAATAATAATAATAATAATAATAATAATAATAATAATAATAATCTTTATTTATACCCTGCCACCATCTCCCCCAACGGGGACTCAGGGCGGCTTACATGAGGCCAAGCCCGAACAACAGATTACAGTAAAATAAGATACAAATTACAATAAAATAAACAACATAGCATTAAAGTATAAAACATACATTTTAACACCACTTTTGCTTTGGCTCAATGCTACAGAACCATGGGAATTGCAGTTTTACAAGACCTTTAGCCTTCTCTGCTAAAAAGTGCTACTGCCTCACTAAAGTACAACTGCCATTGACTCCATAGCATTGAGCCATTTCAGTTAAACAGGTGTTAAACTGCATTAATACTTTAATGTGCGAGGGTTATCCGGAAAGCAAGGTTGCAAGGCACGTAGCTCTCACAGGGAATTTTCTCAGGGGAAGTTGGTATCACTGCCATGTAGCGGGAAGCCAGCGGAAGTGAACGAGCAGTGGCAGTCATCAGAAGCTCATTGACTGGTGGTGTGGTGAAGGTTAGAGTTGAGCGCCCTCATTCAATTTCTCTTAAAGTGCAAAGTACTGAAGGGCATGAACACCGTTGTGGTTCATCGCGAAATCTTTCGAGTTTATGGAAAAGATGTAATGTCAAGACAGCATGTGACAAAATGGGTACGGAATATATTGTGAGACCATGAAGAAACTTCAAAGAGCCATCCAAAGCAAACATCTTTGGATGCTGACGGTGGGAATCTTGTCTCCTTCATGACAATGCATATCTGCACACCACTCATGCAACACAAGAGTTGTTGACTTCATTTGGTTGGGACATTTTAAGCTACCCCTCTCACAGCCCTGATCTCACACCCAGTGACTATCCTCTGTTCACTAAATTAAAGGTACACCTAGGTGGAAAACACTTTTCTGATGACAATGAGATGAAAACTGGAGTGACAAACTGGCTGAAAAAGGTGGAGGGAAACTTCTATGGCACAGGCCTCAAAAACCCGTCCCATGGATGACAAAATCGATTGAACTGAATTGTGATTATGTGGAAAAAAATAATGTAATACTTACACTACAATCCATGTAAATTTTGCTAAAATATATTCATTTTTTGTATTTTAGAAAAATCTTGTAACCTTACTTTCGGGATGACCCTCATAGATGCACCCATGGTGGAGAGTTTTTAGTTAAATGTCTTAGTGGGGAAGGAGCAGGGTTCTGGTAGGTTTGCAGTGGTTTTGAGTTGTTTTGATACATTAGGGTGAATGATTGCTGGTTCAAAATATGGGAAATCAGGTTATTGAGAGGATTCTGGAGGTGTCAGGGGTAGCAAACTAGGGGCAGGGGCTGCATTCACCCCTAGGCACACTTTCCCTACTCATGCTCTACACCAGTGGTTCTCAACCTGTGGGTCCCCAGGTGATTTGGCCTACAACTCCCAGAAATCCCAGCCAGTTTACCAGCTGTTAGGATTTCTGGGAGTTGAAGGCCAAAAACATCTGGGGACCCCAGGTTGAGAACCACTGCTCTACACAAAGAGATATTGCACTGACTTCTCTAGTCCTAAAATTTTTGACATAAACTGAGGTGGTGGCATTGACTCCCAGATATTATTTGACTGCAGTTCCCATGGCCTTTCATCATTGCCTATGTTGGTTAGGGCTGATGGGAAGTACAGTCCAACAATACCTAAGGAACTATATTTTACCCACTCTTATGAATGGGCAAAAAAAATTTTCTGTTGCACAACAGGGCCTTTTACATTATGTAGTCAAAATGCCTCTTTTTGACTCCAGTGATGAGATGTATTGTGTTGTTATTGTTGTGTTAGTTTTGTACTGTGCTTTTATGGTTTTAAATTGTATATTGTTGTTTGATTATCTTGTTGTAAACCGCGTTGAGTCGCCAGTTAGGCTGAGTACAAGTAAAGTAAATAAATAAATAAATAAATTTTCTTGTTGAAAATTTGTTGATATGTTCATACTCACTTCAGCAGGCCTATTTGCTTTTGTAGCTTTGAACGTGTTTTTTTTTTTAATTCTCTGTGACAGGAGATCTGGAGAATAGGAACTGAAATTTTGCAGCAGCATCCACAGAGTACTGTAGAGGAGGCCAGTCACTTTGCAGATCGGATGAAAAATTTAGGAGTCATAAAATATTTAAAGGTGAGGATAGTTTTGAAGAATGTTTTGTGTGCATATGATTCCTTTTTAAATCCAGAATGCTAATGTTGAGGTTGTGCTGTTTGTTCTTGAGATCTGTAGCTATAAAGGACTTTTCTTCTTAAGCAATATAAACTTTAAAAAAAATGTTACAAGAAGAAAGCCATTTAGTGAAACAAGTTTTGTACTTTTAAAGTATTAGAATAGCTTTATATTTATAGCCTTGTGGTTTGAAGCAAGTTATGCTGATGTAATTTGTGTAAGCTGATTTACTATTGTGCTAAATCCAATATTAGGCCACTTTTACACTGCCATATAAAACCCAGATTATATGCTTTCATCTGAATTATATGACAGTGTAGACTCATATAATCCAGTTCGAAGCAGATAATGTGGATTATCTGCTTTGATAATCTGGATTATGTGGCAGTATAGAAGGGACCTGAGTCTTATGTAGGGTAAATCCATTGAAATCAGTGACACCCAAATTACCGTTGTTTTGACCAACAACTCCTATGTATTTCAGTGGACCTGATCAAGGTGGATGTTGTCCATTGCAATCATATATGCCTATAGCTCCAGACTCTTCCTGTGTGCTCAAGTGTTTCCTATTTGTTTTAATGTTATGATTCATTCTGAAGTAACAGTGCTCTGCTGGAGGTAGAAGTGCCATTTGGCACTGAAATTAATTGGGAAGTCTGATGGCATATTGCTGTGTACATACCGTAGATCTATGTTGTAGCATGGTTTTCAGAACTGCTGCATATAAGGAGTATAACCTAGGCTTAAAATCATTATAGGTTTCTTTGGAACATGCCTTCCATCTTTTGTGCAATGGTTTTCTGGAGGAAGCCTATCGGGACTTATCTCTGGCAGAAAGCTGGCGCTATGGAGAACTCACAGTTGCCCAGGAAAAAGAACGGAAACTAATTCAAGGCTATAGAGGACTGTTGGATTATTATAAGTGGTTAAAGAAGAGGACAGAAATGTTGGAGCTTGGTGAGTTTGTGCCTTTCAAGTAAGCAGGTAGTGCCCAGAACTCTTGTAGTCAACCATGATTTTAATATTGTGTTTTTATTTATTTAGTTATTTCTATCCCACCTTTTCCCCCATGGGGGAACTTAAGATGGCTTCCAATAAACCCTGACAAAACCCAATAACTTTAAAAACATGGCAAATGCAAAAAATAAAATAAAAACAATGTAATATTTGTGTTGTGGATATAAGTTAAAATACAGTTAAGATATAATAAAAATACTTGTACATTTAAATCACATTTAAAACTAACTATTCTCACAAGGCCCTGTGAGAATAGTTCCCACCAAATGTGCTTGAGTGGATGATGAGACAGAAATCTGAAACTAAACTGAGAGACTTGTGCTGCAACCTTACATATATTTTACTAGGAAATAAGTTGCATCAAGGTTGATGAGACTGACTACTCATCCAAAGGGTTATGGTATCAGCCTACTTTCCTCTTCCCAAGAGATGGTTAGTCTGTTTTATTATACTGTAGAAATTCTGGGCCAAAATCCTAGTGAGACACTATGTTAATACAGTGATCTGTTATGCTCATGAAGAGAAGTGATGATAGGAGTTGGATCCTATTCCTAATGTCTTAGGATCCTTCCACATAGCCATATAACCCAGAATATCAAGGCAGAAAATCCCACAATATCTGCTTTGAACTAGGTTATCTGAGTCCACACTGCCATGTATTCCAGTGCTGTTTGGGTTCAGGGAACAAAAATGGCCCAACCCTGGCATGAGCTATGGATACTTAACAGATTAGTCTGTAGTTCAATTTCTTTTGGACCAGAAAGAACCTAGAACAGAGATAGGCATCTGTTCCAAGCACTAGCTTTGGGGCCTTATGGGAGATGTATAAACTGCCCAAAAGTGCACCTCCCTGAAATATCTAATTTTCAAAATCAGAAGTTTAGTTTTGAGAAGTGGTTATTTTTAATGTTAGATAGCACAGGAAGACTCTAACTTAAGTAAAAGGTGTATTGTCACATGAGGAGACTTCCTGGCAATTTATCATTTTGGGGCCAGAAAAAAGTGGACCAGGGATTCTGGAGGGTTTAAGGGTGTGGAAAATAGGTTTGCTTTCATCTCAGGGCTGCATCATATGTCTCTGCTTTAGAAGTCTAAAATGCAAAATATAGCAACTATATTCAGTATTATGTATATGCTTATTTTACCATGTATGTATGTCTGCATGGCATTGAATCGTTGCCTATATATGTAAGCTCCCTTAAGTCCCCTATAGGGTTGAGAAAGGCGGGGTATAGATATGGTAAACAAATAAATATTAGATATTTGCTATTTGTATCTTCAATTAATATTTACTGCCCTCTTTGTTTCTTCTCTTTTTCTAAGCTTATGTCGAAGGTTTTTGAAACAGAGGCTACTGGCTAGCTCATGATTATGTAATTAACATAAGAGATGAACATCTTGTCTTTTACAGATGAAGACAGCTATGCGAGAACTTCTGTTCAGCAGGAAATGTACAGACTGTACCAGCAGGCTAAAGGCTGCCTTAAAGAGATAATTAAAATCCCTGGAGTTTGGGATCCATTTGTGACCTGTTACATAGATGTAAGTGCACATTCTTCTGATGTAACAAACTTAACCACTTGTTTTGAACTAAGTATTGCTGGCAGTTCAAGATTTTGTGGCACTGTGAGTCATTTTGACATTTTCATAGTAGTTTGTTAAGTAGGCTCCTCAAAAAAAAAAAAAAAGCTTAACAAAGATTGGACAGTCCTTACCATTCCTTGTCATACAGTGTTTTCATAGCTCTTGGTTTTGATTTCAAAACGTATTAGGCCATTTCCAACCTACTTAATTTCCAGTCCACGTAGACCATGAAATATCTTGGGAAAATCTACAAACTACTCAGGGCATCTCCACAAAGAGGGCTGTGGCTAATCACAGCATTGCTGTTTGAGGGAATGAACAGTGGGTTATTTCAACTGAGAGTAAAAAGAGAAAAGATGACTAGAGTCAGAGTACCAACCTGTTTATCAAATCACATTTTGGCACTTTTATTCACACCATGCCGTATACACATACATACATACATACATACCCAGACACAATGCTAATTTAGCTTGGTGTTTGTTCTTTGATATATATCTCAGAGCTGCTGCTTCTAGCCCACAGTCTCTTTCAGTTGTAGCTTTTAATTTGAACTACCGTATATACTCAAGTATAAGCCAACTTGAATATAAGCCGAGGCACCTAATTTTACCACAAAAAAATTGGGAAAACATATTGACTAGAGTACAATCTCGGGGGAGGGGGGAGGGGGGAATGCAGCAGCTACTGGTCAATTTCAAAATAAAAATACATACCAATAAAATTACATTAATTGAGGCATCAGTAGGTTAAACTGTAATTTAAGTAAAGACTGTCTGAGTAAACAATCATTCTAACCTTGTTCAGTGTAAATGTGCTTACGTATCATTCCAATAATAATAAAGAGAGTAAAATAATAAATATTCCGAAGAAAACTTAAGACCTGGCTTTGGGGTCAAGCCTTTGAATAATAAATACAGCATTGGAATGTGATTGACTTATGCAACGGGCAATGGACTGATCCTGGATCATGATTTTAAACTGGCGATTTTAATATTTTCAAATTTTTGGTGTATTTATAATTGTTTTAATTGTTGGTTAGTGTTAATTGTTATTACTATGTTTGGCATCTAATGGCTGCCTTCTGTAAGCCACCCTGAGTCGTCCCCCTACACCCAGGGGTGAGAACGATAGGGTATAAATGCTTGAAATAAAATAAATAAACAAAGAAACAAATAATAGAGTAAAGTAATGTAAATGTAATAATAATAATAATAATAATAATAATAATAATAAATAGGGTAAAATAATTGTAATAAAAATAGTAATAACAGAGTAAAATAATAAATAACTTTGACTTGAGTATAAGGCAAGGGGAGCTTTTTCAGCCTAAAAAAAGGGCTGAAAAATTCAGCTCATACTCAAGGAAATACAAGATTCATTCTGCAGAAAAAATTAAGTATCTACAAGAAAGAATATAGTTAGCAGCTTTCAATTACCAGGTCTCATACTGGAACGTTATGTATTTCCCTCAGATGCTGGAACATTATGAAAAGTTTGAAGAAGCAAGAGAAACATTAAATGAGTATGCATATAATTCCAAATTTCCTTCTAACCCCAATGCTCATGTCCTCTTCTATCAGTTTCTTAAGAGAAGGGGTGAGCCAAAGAAGGCACAGATCTCTGCCCTCCAGGTATGATCTTTAGGCCTTATTTCATGTCTGTTCTGATTAATTTATGATGTATAAAAAACACAAACCAGGCAGTTTGAATTAAAAAGCATTCATTTTATTGAAAGAAATCTGGGAATATGCTTTACTTGTGTATTGGAACCAAAAGGATATATAACTATTTTAACTGAAGTGTGAAATTGAATGAAATACTAGTTTAAAAACATAAATAGTACCTTGCTAAATTGGATTAAAGACCCGCCTGTTCCAACATTATATTTCCAATTTCCAAGAGCAGCCTAGAAATGCCTGGACATTAGTGCATGTCATAGGAGCTGTCTACGGCAGAAAAAAAATCTATACCCACCTCTATTCCAGTGTTGTAGGAGAATGCAATATATTTCTGTTTTTACAGAGAAAGCTCCTTTTAGATTTTAATGCATTTTTCCAGTTGTGTGAAAGGTGTAAAATGGTTTCTTTTTCCTTGTTTCACATTTCCATGGTATGATTCTGACCATTTTACTGGTGGGGCACAATCTTTCAATTAAAATTACATTTTTTGAAAAGGTCCCACAGGGGTGACTTGGGAAAGCACTGAACTGCCAAGATCCCACACATTTGATCTCGTAGCTGGGTGTTTCTCTCTTTCTGACTTAAAAGAAAGTGACTTCACAAGTAGAGCTCTTCTTGGGCTCTGAGGAGAAAGACACAGTTTATTTTACTTTTTGTAATGGTGAAGACCCCAATCTACACCCACTTCCATGATTGGTTTAATTTATGGCTGACCTGGGCAGAGGAGTGGATGGCAGCCGCAAGAGGAAGGAAGAAGAAAAGTGTTCCCAGTCTGAACATGAGTAGGAGAAATGTGTGGCCATCAATACAATGTCAGTGCAGTGTATTGCAAGTAGGTGTAGACAACCTCATAGATGAATGTAAAATATAACTAAAGAGTTGTGGTAGTGCAGGCCCCCCTGGTGGTGCAGCAGGTTAAACCGCTGATCTGCTGAACTTGCTGACTGAAAGGTTGGTGATTCGAATACGGGGAGCAGGGTGAGCTCTCGCTCTTAGGCCCAGGTTCTGCCAATCCAGCAGGTCGAAAACATGCAAATGTGAGTAAATCAATAGGTATTGTTCTGGCGGGAAGGTAACGGTGCTCCATGCAGTCATACCAGCCACATGACCTTGGAAGTGTCTATGGACAGCGCCGGCTCTTTGGCTTAGAAATTGAGATAAGTACCAACCCACAGAGTCGAACACGACTGGATTTAATGTAATACCTACCTATATAATATTTAGTCACAAGTAGCTGACTAATACATAATTTTCTAAACATGTTCAGAATGTTTGATAGAAAATATACAGCATAAAAGCATTAATGACACATCAATCATAATACATATCTGGGAAAACCGAGTGTAAAGCAAGTGCTCCCTGGTTTGGTAGATGTGTGTAGTGCTGCCTTCAGTGTTCATGATCTACAGGAATCTAGTTGATCTTTCATAGGGGTAAAAAGGAAAATATGCAAGTGCCTGGTTAAGTGTGCCTTAGTATCTTTGTCTATATATTTTTGGTTAATTTCCATTTCCTGTATAGTTTTTTCTTTCTTCCCTTTAGTGGTGTCATGCCTCATGCCCCCTGGAATTTTTTTTGTAATTTCCTTTTCAGAAATCGTGGCCTTAATGCTTATGCATGCTTACATTTCACAGTGAAGCCGGTGGCCTATCTAATTCCATGCTATAATTAACTGGGACATAAGCTTCTGCTAATGATTATTCTATTGAAATCAGTTGTGCATGAAATTACATACCTGCCCTCAGATTATCTACATACGTTGACATTTGTCTGTATTTTTTTCTTAGATTTTGCATGAGCTTGTTCCTTCTCATGAATTAATGTTGGAATTTTATACCATACTTAGCAAGTCAGGTAAGACTTCCAAAGTACCATATTCCTTCCTTTAACTTGATTGTTTTAGGGTCTAACTGGCAGCTGTTTCTCAGGGAGAATAGAGGAAAACGGGAATTTTGGCCCCATCTACACTGACGATTTAATGTACAGTATTCCCTCACTTATCGTGGATGTTCCGTTCCAGGACAACCCGCAATAAGTGAAAATCCGCTAAGTAGGGATGATATATTTATTTTAATATTTATACATTACTAGCCGTACCCTGCCATGCGTTACTGTGGCCCACATGGGGGTTCTGTGTGGGAGGTTTGGCCCAATTCTATCGTTGGTGGGGTTCAGAATGCTCTGTGATTGTAGGTGGGCTATAAATCCCAGCAACTACAACTCCCAAATGTCAAGATTCTATTTTCCTTAAACTCCACCAGTGTTCACATTTGGGCATATTGAGTATTCGTGTAGAGTGATCCAAATCCATCATTGTTTGAGTCCACAGTGATCTCTGGATATAGGTGAACTACAACTCCAAAACCAAAGGACACTGCCCACCAAACCCTTCCAGTATTTTCTATTGGTCACGGGAGAACTGTGTCCCAAGTTTGGTTCAATTCCATCGTTGGTAGAGTTCAGAATGCTCTTTGATTGTAGGTGAACTGTAAATCCCAGCAACTACAACTCCCAAATGACAAAATCAGTTTTTTTGAGTGAAGGGCATGCATCAGGTTGTTAGGTGTCTTGTGTCCACCTAACAATCCAATTCGTTCAGTGGTTTTTGAGTTCTGTTAATCCCACAAATGAACATTACATTTTTATTTATATAGATTTTAGTATTCAGGGGAAATCCTTTTCCTTTACGTTATAAACAAAATCCTTCAGTCACTTTAGTTGCGCAGGAACTTTTAGAAAGCGCTCCACTTCCACTGGGCATATATAAGAAGCGGCATGCACAGTCTAGCCCTCATGCTTCCTTACCCGCCTCTACTGAGAGTCCACCCAATAAACATCTCCGGAGCCACCTCCGGGGCCGCGGTAGCACAGTAGGCCACACTGCGCTACCTTCAGGCCTGGCCCGCACACCACCGTCCCTTTCTGAGGCCTGTTGGCCGCCAGGTGGAGCTGCTCACCATCCGCCACTGTGTAAATAATGTAATGTAAATATTTTAGATTAATATTTATTAAAAATCCACAAAACAGCAAGTCTGCAAAAAGTGAACTGCTAAGTAGCGAGGGAACACTGTAGTTCAAAGCTAGCTTCAAATTGCAGTGGCCAAAAAATAAACTTCCACAAAATAGTGCAAAATAAAGCCCTAATGTGCATCAGTGATCTGTGGTTTGTGTAATCACTATCCTGGCCTTAAACTGGTTCCAGGATTTCCTATGTAATCATCTGTGTGCCAAAACAACTTTCTTCAATACCAGTTTGAAACTGCATTAAATGGTCAGTTTAGACAAAACTTCTTTTAGCACGAGAGTGATTTTTTTAAGCATGTGAGTTCTTGGGCTGTGTTACAGTGGCCACAAAATGGCAGCACATTTTATCTTAAAGCTCTTGCTGCCAGTAATGTAACCTTAAGAGAATACTTTATGCCCTTTTGAAATGGGGAAACATACAAAGCTGGGAAACCATCAATCAGTCTTGTCATAGGGAAGGGGAGCTCTCTCTCCTGTGCCCCAGGATATCTGCCAAACAGTCAGGCAAATTTGCCATTCATGTTAACCTTAGTGATTGCATTCTCCTCTGAACACATTGAGACTTACTAATGAATACAGAACACCTTAAAACAATGTATTTTAATTGCAGACAAAAATAAACACCACAGGCAGTGCCTGACAGTAATTTTTTCAGTCTTGGACTTTGCTGGATGGAAAGAAAATGTAAAAGCATGGCACTGTTTGGCAAAACAGATTGTGAAAATTCTGCAAAAGTAAGTAAAGCATTTACTATTCATTGTTTTTAAACTTTATTTATATTCTACCTTTCTCCCTGTCAGGATTTAAGGTGACTTCCTTTCACCTGTCTCTCAAGATTTCATATTTACCTATGCATCCATACATCAATTGTGTGTGTATAGGTAAAATATATTGTAGACTATATTGTGTCTTCCTACAGAGTAGAGAGCAGTATGTCAGTGTGCAACCCCCCTCCCCAACATTTTCAAGATTAGTGGAGAGAGTTCTGGTCCCTTACGTTAAAAAACCTTCATGGGAAAAATAAGACACATAACATCTTTGAAAGCCATGGTTCATATTTACAAAGAATAGCTAATCGACTAACTTGTTTTTCTAGAAAAGTATTCTACAGTGGTTCATGAGCAATCAGCTCCACATCCAAGAAGATCTCTTTGTAACTGGTTAAATGTGCATAAAAGTCAGCACTACAGCTCTTTTTTGGCTTCAGGTCCACTGGGAGAGGGGAAAATGATATGCTTTTATTTGATCTGGTTTTATTTGTTATCAAACATACCTTTATGTGTTTGCAAATAAGGTGTTTTTTCTGGGTGAAGGATAGGGGTAGCGAGGCAAAACAAGAAGTGTATGATAGAGCTGCTATAAGGGGGTCCTCCTTTATAGCCATTAAAAACCTTTACACAAAGGGGTAATGTATATCGCACTGAGAACGAAAGGACATTGGAGAGTCTCCTATTTCAAGAAAGTTAAAGCTTTGTGTCCAGGTTGTCACTGACTCATACCTTGAGTCTCCGCTAATCTACAACTTTTATAGATAACAGGAATAAAGATAGTTTTCAATATCAGGAAACATGATATGTGTTGTCGAAGGCTTTCATGGCTGGAATCACTGGGTTGTTGTGAGTTTCCCAGGCTGTATGGCCATGTCCCAGAAGCATTCTCTCCTGATATTTTGTCCACATCTGTGGCAGGCATCTTCAGAGGTTGTGAGGTTTGTTGGAAGCAAGGCATAAAACCCCACTGAGGATGCCTGCCATAGATGTGGGAGAAGCATCAGGAGAGAATATTTCTGGAACATGGCCATACAGCCCGGAAAACTCACAGCAACCCAGTGATACTGAGATCTTTGTGGTTGTTCTGGTGTTTCATCCTATCACTCATGCGAGCAACTACTGTTGTTGTTTATTCTTCTATACAACCATAAAGGGAAAGGAATCTTGTCATTTTATTTTATCTGACAGCTCTTTGGTGCATGTGTGCATGCAAGAGGGGGAAAAGGAGGAAAAGAAAGAAAGAAAGAAAAAAAGAATGAAAGGGTATTGGAATTAATTTTGGTATCATAGTAATAGAGCTCGCTGTACCATCGCACAAAAATCCTCTCTGTTTATGCAGAGTGGATGGAATTCTGCTCAGGAAAGGTAAATCTCCTTTCTTAATACTGGTAGTATAATTTCTGATAGAGTTTCTTATTTGTTGCCATCGCCCAGAGTTTTGCCATTAGATACTGATATATCTTGTATGTAGACCTACTACATATTCTAAGGTACCTGTCCGAACGAATCTCCCTCTGTGAACCATCTTGGAGGTTAAGATCATCCAGAGAGGCCCTGCTCTCAGTCACACACCCCTTGCAAGTGTGACTGGTGGGGAAGAGAGACTGGGCCTTCTCAGTGGTGGCCCTTCATCTATGTTACTCCTTCCCCAACGAAATTAGATCAGCGCCCTTCTTCTTGGCCTTCAGAAAAAAAGTGAAAACATGGCTGTGGGACCAAGCATTTGGGCAGTAAGCAATACAAGGAACAAACAGGGATTACGTGCAATTGATATTTGATATTGGAATGGCCTTGGACTATGATTTTTGGATTATGTAATTTTAATGTTTATATTAATATGTTTTTAACTCCATGTTTTAATGTCTAAATGCTGTTACGTTTTATGATTTTATTGATGGTTATGTTATCGTTGTTTTCTGGTAGGTTTTCATACATTTACAAGACATTAAATTTTGCTGTGAATATGTTGGAAACTGCTTTGGGTCCCTTCCTGGGGTGAGAAAAGTGGTATACAAATGAAATAAATAAATAAATAAATATGGGAGCTCTGCAATTTTCTGATAAAGTACAAGATTTCTCATTATCGGTTCATGATTTAAAATCTCTTTGGGCTTCTGCCTCATTTCGTCTTTTCTGGTTTTCCCTTAGCCCTGACAAGCAGCTTCACTGGCTCAGAAAGGAATGGAGTTCCAGAAAGGACTGGTGGCCAGCTTTCCATTTCAGCCTTCATTTGGCAAAACGGAACTGGCAGGAAAATGAGGCTCTAGTGTATGAAAAAGCATTGGTGGATGGAATTCTGCTAGGAACAGGTAAATCTCTAAAATGTTCTCTCCCTGTATACTAAATAGATGATGACTGGCCTCTTGTTTAGTAATTATGATGTCATATGTCTGATTTTACCTTTATAATCATTGCACCACCGCATTGACCTAAAGTTGCCTCCACAAAACCTACCTTTTCAACTGCACAGCCCGCCTAGCACGATCAATTCCAAGTTGCCAGCGAGCAGAGGGCAGAGTGATGATACATCAAGCCCTCTTCCTCTAGCTGGGCATATTGTGACAGGTGATTCTTGTGGCTGGCTGTTGCAGAGCACGTCATGACAGGCATCCCCTGCTTTTCAAAGGCTTTCATGGTCTATTTTTCAGCAGATCAGAATAATAGTCATGTCTTCTCTTTTGACACTATTTTTTGTGTACTTGGGTTGCTGGTGGTTTCTTTCCCTACCTGTTGACTGGGCGCCATCTACTGTTCAGTCTTGCCCCTGTCTCTGCTTTTCAACAATTTTCACTACTGTCATCCTTCCAAGAGCCTGGAAAAGTGAAAAACTGCAAATACTAAACTTGTTTTTCATTTCACCTGAAAGGACACCTCTTTAGGAATATCTAGTATTACCAGCACGACTCTGGCAAATTTCCAATGGATTGTACTGGAGTTTCTAGAGATCTTCAGAAAGGTGTTGATAGACTCTAGTATTAGTCTATCATCAAACTCCAACAAAAACTGACCATGAAGTTGTGCTGGAGGACCTAGAGATTCCCAGAGAGAACATTTTTATCAAATCTGCGAATAATCAAGTCCCGAGAAGTGGAGGACCAACTGTGTTTGCCAATTCTTGTATTTCAGACCCATCAGATCAGGGGTCCCCAAACTAAGGCCTGGGGGCCAGATATGGCCCTCCAAGGTCAATTACCCAATCTTCACTCAGGGTCAACCTAAGTCTGAAATGACTTGAAAGCATACAACAACAACCCTATTTCATCAGCCAAAAGAAGGCCCACACTTCCCACTGAAATACTAATAAGTTTATAATTGTTAAAATTGTTCTTCATTTTAATTATTGTATTGTTTTTAAGTGTTTTTTGCACAACAAATAAGATATGGGCAGTGTGCATAGGAATTCAGTCCTTTTTTTTTTCCACAAATTATAATCTGTCCCTCCAACAATTTGAGGGACTGTGACCAGGTCCTCTGTTTAAAAGGTTTGAGGACCCCTGCATCAGATAAATGGAATCTTCCTGTATAGGAAGAGGGCTGAATGCTTCTGGACCTTGTTGCATGGCAACTTGGAAATGGCCTTGTTCAGAGGGCTGCATTGTTTGAATCATAGGTTTTGGGACATAGCATCTGTAAACCTAATAGGAGCTTGCAGGATCTTGCCCAGCAATGGAAAGGGATAAAATTAGGAAAGTAGAACATAACCATCTTGATGGCTTGCTGTCATTGCCAGAGATATCCTCAATGGATCTGTATTATACACTTTTAAGGGCATCAATGTTTGTTTGATATCATAATCAGAGCTTGGAAATATTCGCTTTTTGGACCACATGATCTTGAAAACACACACACGCTGGTCATGCTGGCTAGGGAGATTTCATGGTGTTGGAGTCTTAAAAAGGTTCCACATTCTGATCATCACATCAAGTAAATTTCAGAGTTTAAAAGAAGAGTGAGGATTATGGAGAGGCCCAGATATTTTGGATTGTAATTCCTTTATAATCAATGGTGAATTCAATAACATCTGGAAGGCCACAGAATTTCCTTCTCCTTGGGTTAAAAGAATACGTAACCTTGGGTTAAAAGAATACTTTCCTCTCCATATGTCACAGTTAGCACCACTGCCATGTCTTGCACTCCTGTCCAATCAGAACAGTAAAGGAGATATTTAAATGGTCAGAGCCCTTGGGCTTGGGATGGGTGTTATTTGTTACTTCCTGCCTTGTTAGCATTTAAAATCCATATAGCTCTAAAACTCTAGTGAGACTGTTTTAGATATTAAGGTTATTTTATTTCCAAAAATCACCATCACAAACTATGCCCCCCCCCCTTTTCTTTTTTTTTTCTTGAACTGGTGCCATGAAACAAATTGCTTCCATATGTAGAATAAGCCTTGTAGATTAGTCATTCTGTATTGTAAAGGGAGCACCAGTTCCTATGTGTTTTCCTATAAACATACAGGAGAGATAATTGCTAAACCTTGAGGCTGGCATGTGTGTGGTGATCTGTGTAGGCTGGCAGAATTTGGCTTTTCACATAGCAGAACTTCATGCTGTATCCTTAAAGATTGTGAAGCATCTGCAGTTATCCTAAAAGCCCTGAGGAGGTTGTTGGACGTTTGCCCAAACCCCAATTGGTTACACTGGTTTGATCATTCATCCCCAGCCCATAGCAAGTACCAGAAGTCTAAAAATCATGTATATGTTTTCAGTGCCTTCCTGTTTGGTTTGTGTGTGTGTGTGTGTGTGTCAGGAATGACTTGAGACACTGCAAGTCACTTCTAGTGTGAGAGAATTGGCTGTCTACAAGGACGTTGCCTGAGGGATGCCTGAAAGTTTTGATGTTTTACCATCCTTGTGGGAGGCTTCTTTTATGTCCCCTCATGGACAGCTGGAGCCAACAGAGCAAGCTCATCCGTGCTCTCCCCGGATTCGAACCTCCAACCTGTCGGTCTTCAGTGCTGCCAGCACAAGGGTTCAACCCATTGCGCCACTGGAAGTATCAGGATCATTTGGGTTCAATATGCACTGCTGTATTGCAGATCTAAACTAGGTTAAGGAACTGGGATGTTAAGAAGTTGCTGCAATTTTTCCTTGAAAAAAGTATGTTACACTTCTTGGGTTTCCTTCATCTGGAGATGTTATGATAGCTTGTAGAGCATACAAAAGGTCTATGCAGTTACCTGGCTGCAATATGAATAGGACTAAAATGATTTTTTTTATGTCAGGAGCAACTTGAGAAATTGCAAGTCACTTCTGGTGTGAGATATTTGGCTGTCTACAAGGACGTTGTCCTGGTAACGCCCAGGTGTTTTACCATCCTGTGGGAGGCTTCTCTCATGTCCCTGTATGAAAAGCTAGAGCTGCCAGATGGGAGCTCACTCTACTCCCTAGATTTGAACTGCCGACCTTTTGGTCAGCAGTCCTGCTGGCACAAGGGTTTAACCCGTTGCACCACCAGGGGCTCAGACTAAAGTGATGGGACTTTTGCAAGCATGTGTTTCTCATTTCTAAATGCTTGATAGACTCTTGGGCATGGAGTGCAAAGATCTGTATAGGTGCTTGTCAACCCATTAAGCTCTTCAATAGTTCAGAAACAGGTTGGTGGAGGAGGGAGAATGCTAAGGGTGGGATATGCAGTCTAGTACACACCTTCCTTTAGTTTTTTGTGTGCTTTGGGCAGATGTTAGCCCAGGACTTCCTGTATTGTTAGACTGCAGAGATATTTTTGGACCAAAGAGGCTGTGTTGTGCAGTGGTTGAGTATTAGACTAGGATTTGGGAAATCCAGTTATAAGTTTCACATAGAGCAAAAGCCTCTTAGGTGATGCTGAACCAGTCATGCCTACCACTTCTCAGTTGTGAATATATGAGGTGGTGGAGAGTTCCATAGATGTCACTATGAAAGCTAAGGCAGACCCACCATTCCATAGGACCTTCCACAGATATATAAACCCAATTTTCCTAGTTTCCAACAACCTCACAACCTCTGAGGATGCTTGCTACAGATGCAGGTGAAAAGTCAGGAGAGAATGCTTCTAGAACATGGCCATTTGTTGTTCATTCGTTCAGTCGTCTCCGACTCTTCGTGACCTCATGGACCAGCCCACGCCAGAGCTCCCTGTCGGCCGTCACCACCCCCAGCTCCTTCAAGGTCAGTCCAGTCACTTCAAGGATGCCATCCATCCATCTTGCCCTTGGTCGGCCCCTCTTCTTTTTGCCTTCCACTTTCCCTAGCATGATTGTCTTCTCTAGGCTTTGCTGTCTCCTCATGATGTGGCCAGAGTACTTCAACTTTGTCTCTAGTATCCTTCCCTCCAGTGAGCAGTCGGGCTTTATTTCCTGGAGGATGGACTGGTTGGATCTTCTCGCAGTCCAAGGCACTCTCAGCAGTTTCCTCCAGCACCACAGTTCAAAAGCATCTATCTTCCTTCGCTCAGCCTTCCCTAAGGTCCAGCTCTCACATCCGTAGGTTACTACAGGGAATACCATGGCTTTGACTATGCGGATCTTTGTTGCCAATGTGATGTCCAGTTTTAAAGAACATGGCCATACAGCCCGAAAAACCTACCACAACCCATTCCTTGCCACTATTTATGCTGGCTAAGGACAGTGGGAGTCACAATTCATCAACATTAGCAAGACCGTTGGACAGCACCCATTTTGTTCATGCTTTTTAAATGGCAATGAAGAAGGACAGCTTTCATAATCGGGATTAACATCATACCCACCCACCCCCCATGTAAACAAACACCTGGGAAGATCCACTAGGTTATATTCAGAGCAGTAAAGTGAAGCCTGAAAGATGAAATGGAAGCCAAGTGTCTGTTTCCTTCACATATCACTGTGGATTTGAATCAAATCAAATGGGCCTTTGTCCAATAGAATCCTACTTGCCTTAAATTTTCTCTTTTTAATTTTTCCACTCATACTAATGCTATCTCATTTTTGTTTTGTGTGTGTGTGTGTGTCTAGATTCCAAATATTCAAAGTACATAATTCAACAGAGCCATAAAGCGAAGAAGAGGAATATCAAACCACTGAAGAAATTTGTGAAAGAACACAGCTGGGTCAGTTTGAGATTGTCTGATGTTTGATGTTTGAGATTGCCAAGTGTTTTTTTAAAATATATATATATATATATTAAATTATTTTTTCCAGATTGTATGTGTGCTAGTTTTTATACAAATCTTCTCCGTAGTGCATAAGGGTGGTACAAAAATGAGACTTCATTTGAAGAAGAAAAAACCAGGTTCCTATCTTATAATAAATCTATTTGAAGAAACACATTGTTCTACTTTGAATTATAGCTAAAATAAAAATCCAGACTCAAACTTTTACAGAAAACAGGTTTTATCACTTACATTTCAAAGTCTTCATGTTATATATTTCCAACATGCTCTCGAAGTGAGTAGAGGACATATACAGTGTATCACAAACACATGTGCAAAAATCTAAGTGCAAAATGAGTTGCTTCAAGAAATACCATACCACCTTCTACTCCAAGACTTTTGAAATTAGGTGAGATGGGAAGGATCTATTTCAATAATAATAATAATGATAATAATGATAATAATGATAATAATGATAATAATGCAGATTATTATTATTATTATTATTATTATTATTATTATTATTATTATTATTATTTCTAGACCACCCTCTCTCCCCAGAAGGACTCAGGATGGACGGTTTACACATAAAAAGGCAAACATTCAGTGCCTCAAAATAGGTACAGACACATCAAAATATTACAAAATAATGAAGAGTAACAACAGAAAACCTAGAACAAAGGAATTAAGTATCAAAAAAGGGAACAATCCCTTAAGACATAACAACTAAAACATAAATAAACTTTACAATGTACACCCTAAAGACAAATTATGAGATATTACATTTAAAATGGCTGACAATGGTGTTTCATTTAAGATGTATCATTACAACCATCTAATACATGTAGATTAGCCAGCAGTCCTAATCCTCTCCATATGCCCAAGTGCATTGGTGCATTTTTAGAAGTTTCTTAAAGGAGAGGAGGGTGGGGGCTGTTTTTATTTCTTTGGGGAGGGTGTTCCAGAGATGAAGCAATCACAAAGAAGGCCCCCTCTCTTCCACTAACCAAGCTTGTGACGGGGTGGGACTGAGAGGAGGGCCTCCTCTGTAGACCGCAGTGCATGTGATGGTCTATACAGAGAGATGTGAATTGAAAAATAGCCTGGACCCAAATTTCCTTCATGTCAAGTGTAGTTTTGTGTGTTGGCTGATTGTATGTCATGAATTTTGGGGAAAAAAAATGTCCTAAATTTACCTAAATCCTAGTCCCAACTAGAGTAATCCCATTAAACTGATTGGTGAATAGTGTGCCAATGGATAGGTCTGTCCAGCTGATACAGTGGCTCTATTCTAGTTGGGACTAACCATATAATTTAGATCTCGGTCATCAGGTAATAATTACTGTTGCTGCTATACATTAGAATTGATTTAATTTTTTGTCTTTTGGTGACCCCAAATTAAAGTGGAAGGCCAAAACATCTGGGGACCCACATGTTGAGAACCATTGGTTTTACCTGTTGGGGGCTCCTATTACTATATTATAAAAGTGGAAGAGAACCTTCAGACTCTGATCTGTTACTGTATTATAAAAGTGGGAGAGAACCTTTCCCACACTGTACCTAATTTTATACATCATTATCATGTTTCCCTTTGCCTGACTTTCCTCTGGTCTAAGCAGCCCCAGATAGTGTGACCTTCCAATTCCTTTAGGAGTTTGGCTGTCTTTTTCCCACTTTACAAAAACAATCTGGTGTCTGGATTAAGGAGCCAGGCTAGAGCTGATGTTATTTATATTAAAATGCAACTCTTAAGCACAAAAGGAAAATCAAGTTCAAATTCAACTTGCTGAGAATTCAATAGCAAAGCACAAAATGTACTGCTGGCAATTGAAAAAAAAGAAAAGAAAAGGTTAATTACTTCCAAACTACAAGCAAGTGTTTTGTGTGTATGTGATGCTTTTATCTTTCTGAGGCTTATAGGATAGTGTGGGCTTCCTTTGATCACTTGATATCTGCTGGACCTGCAATGTCACCTTCTATCTGTCAGCAGAGAGGGGCCCTGCATCAATGGAGAGAAGCAAGACACTTCCTCTCCTGGCAAATAGCCATGGTATCACACAGGACCCACTGCTTGTTCTGTCCTTGGTTCAATATCGCAGTGTCTGTCACAGAGCTGAGTCTCCTTGGCAAAAATTCAAGGGCATCTTAGATTAAGATCCCATCACTAAGGCTCTGACACGTTCTCATTCCTAACCGCTATGATGGAATGCAGTTGGAAAGCACATTAGAAATTGCCCATCCCAGATGTGATCAATGTGGCCCTCTAGATTATATAAGTCTTTAATTCCTCACATTCATCACCACTGGCTTGCTGGTAGATCTGATGGAAATTTCAGTGCAGCAACATTTATTGGGCTACATTGTACCCAAACTTCTTACTTCCCAATTTTCTAGTTAGTTGTCAGGGGTTCTATTCACTCATAAAAGTCCTGTTCTTATGGAAGTGTCTCCATTAAGGAACCAGGTATCCAAGAACACAGTTGTAATGGGCTTCTATTCGAATAGAAAAACACGCAGAGACGCTTGTTCTTTCCCAAATAAGCAGGAAGATTTTTCCTTCTCCTTTGTTGTAGCAGTATACAATGTGTATACAAAATATACACACTTTACAGCTTCTTCTCACTACTCACAGCAGCAATTTTCCAAAGTCTCCAAACCATGAGTAACCCTAATCAAACTTACTCAGTATAACTACAACCTATATACTACTCAAATTGCATTAACCACCACACACAAATTACAGTGGCTTAACTCTTTAACAGGTGGTTAGGCCAAAGGTATTAACTCTGCAATCACTTAGAAAATGCCAGGTAATATGAAAAATCCTGACATTAGTATGGCTTACTTTCATAAATAAGTATTAGAAAAGTGCTTTTCAAACTATCTGATGTGGGGGCCTGATATCCCCCCTCTCTCACACACACACAATGTGCTAGGCGCTGATACTATATTTATATTAAGGGGATGCAATGGTTCCTTCATTTCCTGGAAGCTTTCCAGGGACTGGCACTGGTCCACAGACTCACTTTGAGTAGCACTGGGTTCCAGTTGTAAAGTCTGCATTGGCCTGAATGCTAATTTGCTGTCTAAATACCAATCTATATATATATATATAGGGCACAAAGTAGATTTAACATAATGGTGATTGTGCCTATTTTTTCCTTCTCCAGCCACAAACAATTTTTCCATTATTTCACTTTTTATTGCTAACCATGGTGCTGCATTATGTCTACATCAGTATTGAGATACCCCATGATTACCATTTTTGTGGTGGTGTCAGGGCATAGAAACATTACTATGAATGTAAGTTAGGGTACAGCCAGTTTGCACTTGCATTTCTCATCCTCTTCCTTACTAAAGATATCCTGAACAGACTCCTGTATTGATTCTAGGGTCAAAGGTGGTGCTTTTGATTTGGGAGAGAGACTATTTCCTCAAAAGAAATTGTGAAAAGATACTTTTAAAAAGCTCTCTTTCCTTCTCTGTGCCCCCAGATTAGCAATATTAATTACAACAAATGGGACATACAAAGCAGTATTTACACATTTTCTTTGTGTCCGGAGTGGCTTGGGAAACTTCTGGTGTGAGAGAATTGGCCATCTGCAAGGACGTTGCCCAGGGGGCGTTCGGATGTTTTTGATGTTTTACCTTCTTTGTGGGAGGCTTCTCTCATGTTCCCACATGGGGAGCCTGTGCTGACAGAGGGAGCTCATCAGTGCTCTCCTCAGATTCAAACCTCTGACCTGTCGGTCTTCAGTCCTGCTGACACAATGGTTTAACCCATTGTGCCACCGGGGGTTTCTATACAGTAAAATAATTATTATTTCTGCAAACAAGGAAATTATAGCAATACTGATGATTTTATAGCTTGCCTGGATAGCTTCTGGTTTGCATGTTCCATTTTCAAGTGGGTAAAAAAGAGGCTACTGTTAAGCTGTTTTTATTTAAATACCATTGCAAGGATGGAGATGTTACATTGATGTGAATCCAAAGCTGGTATAATGGGAAATGTATTGCTCTGGCCTGCCGATTACCAAAATCCTATTCTTTACTTCAGCATTCTTAGGAGCTGGGGAAATTGGCAGGGGGAGAAAATCCCACTTCTTTCCTTCAGAACTTGATCTGAGTTTGACTAAGCTCAAGTCAATTAGAGTGAGTACGTAATGGGTGAAAGTGATTCATCTTCGTTCCCAGCTATTTTGCTGAGCTGTGGTATCTTGACCTTTTTTGAACTGGCAGAATAATCCTTTCCTACAGCTAGTCAACCAGATAATGTAGAATGCCTGCTGTATTTGTAACCGTTTGCATAGTTGCTGTCTTGGAGTGCCTTCTCTCCCCTTTCCTCCTCCTTTCGCCTTACACACAGAGTGACCTATACCTCCTCCTGTATTGTTCAAGGGCCAGATGGATTTGCGAGAAGGAAGGCGTGGAGGCTTCTGCTGTGTGAGGCGTGGAATAGCAAAGAGGCGGGCTGGAGGCTTGCCTCTTAGCTTTCCAATAGTAAACTTAATGAGAGAGAGAGCGGGAGTGTGTGTAAGCAAAGCTGAGCAAACACTGTGATCTGTGCTAGCTGGGATGTTTGAAGTATGCAGGAGATGAATAACCCTAACCTTCAAGGTGGTCACTTCTCAGAACTCTGTGTCCTCAGAAGGCCTCCAGTCTACAAGACCAGTGTAGGCTCTCATAAGAGCAGTAGTTCTGGGATTTCCTTTCGACCTTCCAGTTTTGTTACCTATTTTGCCATAACCTTGTTGTGTCAAGCTGAGGTCTTGTTGGGACACCCCCAGTGCCTTGACTATGGGCCCCCCTTTCAGCCGCCTTTTCACCTGGAATTCTGCTCAGCCTACGAGAAGTTTGGCTGTTGTGACCAAGACAAGGACAACACGATTGCAGCCAAATATTGGGAGATCATGGATTATGTTGACCCCCAAGCTTACAAACTGTGTGGAAAGTACATCAAAGATATCTTGTGTCAGGTAAGACAGTGGTTATGTGCTATGTGATTGGGCTTTTGATTGTAAATTATTGGGCAGGCGGGTGTATCTATATTGTAGAATTAATGCAGTTTGATAACACTTTCAATGCAGTAACCCCATGCTATGGAATCATGGGAGCTGTAGCTTCGTGAGGCACCAACACTGTTTGAAGAAGACCTTGTAAAACTACACCTCTTAGTAGCATTGAGCTATAGCAGTTAAAATGGTGTTAAATTACATTAATTCTTCAGTGTAGATAAGTCTTTTGTGTGTTTTAGAACAAAGATATTATTTTATGAGCAGGCATGTAGTAAAACTAAATGAGTGTTTTGCACCTGGTATCCAAATTTCTCACATATGAAGTTCAAGGTGCATCTACACTGACATCGCTATAACTGTAATGTCTCTATGGCTTGGAATCGTGGGAATTGTAGTTTTACAAAGTATTTAGCCTTCTCCTAATAGTGTTGGTACCTCATCAAATTACAACTTCCATGATTTCATAGCATTGTAGTTTTACAAAGTATTTAGTCTTCTCCTCCAAGTACTGTTGGTACCTCATGAAATTACAACTTCCATGATTTCATAGCATTTAGCCATGGCAGTTTTCTGTTTTGTGTGTGTGTGTCAGGAGTGACTTGAGAAACTGCAAATCGCTTTTGGTGTGAGAGAATTGGCCGCCTGCAAGGACATTGCCCAGGGGACACCCAAATATTTGATGTTTTACCATCCTTGTGGGAGGCTTCTCTCATGTCCCTGCATAGAGTGCCGGAGCTGACAGAGGGAGCTCAACCCATGCACCCCAGATTTGAACTGCTGACCTATCAGTCAGCGGTCCTGCCAGCACAAGGGTTTTACCCATTGCACCACTTGGGGCTCTGCCATGGCAGTTAAAGTGATATCAGCACAGCTGATAAATCATCAGCAACTAGGAGATCTGTCAACCGAAGGTTGCAAGTTCGAAGCCCCGGGTCGGGATAAGCGGTCAACTGTAAGCCCTGCTCACTGTTTACCTAAGCAGTTCGAAAACAGCTTTAGCTGTAATTAGAGAAATTAGGTGCTCCTAAAAGCGGGGGAGGTGTTTTATGATGCCACAAAGAAAGAAGATCAGAAAATGCTGGGTGACCAAAAAGGAAGTCCTGACTGCTCTTCTTCATAGAGAATAGAGCAACAGCACCCCCTGTGGCTGGACTCACCTTCCTTGACACCCCCCCCCCCCAAAAAAAAACCAGCTGGACACTGAGTCAACAACACCTTCTTTCTGTTCTCTCTATCTGTGTATTGTCTATACAAAAGYGGCATTGAATGTTTGCCACATATGTGCGCTGTGATCCACCCTGAGTCTCCTTCGGGGTGAGAAGGGCGGAATATAAATAAAGTGTTATTATCATTTGAAACACATCATCATCATCATCATCATTCTTATTATTTCTACCTTCTAGCTAGAGGGTAGTAGGGTGCATCTCTTATACCAGCGGTTCTCAACCTGGGGTCCCCAGATGTTTTTGGCCTACAACTCCCAGAAATCCCAGCCAGTTTACCAGCTGTTAGGATTTCTGGGAGTTGAAGGCCAAAAACATCTGGGGACCCCAGGTTGAGAACCACTGTCTTATACGTTTGAAGACATCTTGCAGGAGAGATTATCACTGGATAACAGTTTTTGTGGGCTTCCTAATTGTTGGAAAACCCTGAAAACCTATTTGAACAGTGATAGCCATGCAGAGGAAGAAATGGATGCATACATCATGAGAATTAATTTTTTTTCAAATGGTTTGAAAATCTTTTAAATCATATTGGCCATATCTTGTTGTCCACGCCACTGTTTAGCAACCTAGGTTACTCAAAGGTTGCTGTCATGCTCTTCACAAACTATAAAATATTATTCCCTTAAAAAGTGCTGCAGAAGCCATTCATGGTGAGAATCTGCTTCCAAGTAAAGAAGTGGAATTGTCTTCTGTTGCTGGAAAGGTGAGGAAAGGAGCAGGTTTGTGCCTCGAAACAAAAGGATAATTGATTCTTCCATTTGTTTGGCAAATACAGACAGACTGGGTAACTTTTCAGCGTATAGCAGACTGAGTTTTTTTTTTTCCAAAACAGCCCATGGACCTTGGTGTTTTGCTTCTCAGATGCCATGAAGGATGTGTTTAGATTGCATTCCAACTGAGTGCCCAGCAAAAGCCCTGAAAGCAGCCTCAGATCTAACAGCTGGCATTCATGCTTGCGGTACAGTCTTCCTCCAGTTTCAGCTGCTCCTTTGCCTCCAGTTTTGCTTCTCGTCTGCCCAGTTTAGACTGCTCATCTGGCCAAAGGGAGAAGGCAGGACAGTGAGAACAATAAGAGAAGAAATGGGAGCCCTTCTTGGCCTCCTGCCTATCCTCCCAGCACCAGGCCAAGAGAATTCCCTTTTTAACACCAAGTCCTGGAGGTCTCTTTGAGCCATGCCAGCACAAAGCAGCCAAAATACACACACCAGGCAAACACTTAATATTCTCCTGGCTTAGCGTCCTACAATATTATCTCTGCATACTGAATATGCCCTCTTTTAAAAGGGGAAATGCTGCTAAGACTGTGAAATCAAAATAAATGCTCCAAATAGACAGGATTTGGTTTTTCAGAAATCTTATTTTTTCACAGAAGGATACTGTGGGTAGGAGAAATTTGGAAAATATAGAGTGAGGAGGGGAATTAAAGTCTGCTTTGGTAGTGAATGGAGCAGGGGTCTGCTGGCACATGATAGTTCTGCCATAATTTTAATGTGCTTTGCTATATAGGATGCATTTGTAGGCATGCTGTTGAGGGACATAATAATAATAATAATAATAATAATAATAATAATAATAATAATAATAATAATAATAATTTGAAAAAGGAGACGGAGGGCCTGATTCTGGCAGCCCAAGAACAAGCCATTAGATAGAACCAATGCCATCAAAGCCAGAATTGAAAAGTCGACAACAGATCCCAAATGTAGACTCTGCAAGGAAGCAGATGAAACAATAGATCACATCCTGAGCTGCTGCAAGAAGATCGTGCGCCGCAGACAGACTACAAGCAGAGGCACAACACCGTTGCTCAGATGATTCATTGGAACTTGTGCCACAAATACTATCTGCCTGCAACAAAGAACTGTTGGGATCACAAGCTGGAAAATGTTACAGAGAATGAACATGCCAAACTCCTCTGGGACAAACAGAGTTTTGGAGCATAATACTCCTGACCTCACAATCGTGTTAAAAACAAAGTATGGATCGTTGATGTTGCAATCCCAGGTGACAGCAGGATTGCAGAGAAACAACTGGAAAAGCTGACACGATATGAGGATTTAAAAATTGAACTGCAAAGACTTTGGCTCAAACCAGTAAAGCACACTGGGTGCAGTACCTAAAGACCTTGGCCTGCACTTAAACTCAATTGGCACTGATAAAATTACCACCTTACTGTAGGCCACCTTACTGGGACCTGCACGCATTATTCGCTGATACATCACACAGTCCTAGACACTTGGGAAGTGTCCGACGTGTGATTCAATTCAACAGCCAGCAGAGTGTCTGCTGTGGACTCATCTTGTGTTTCAAATAATAATAATAATAATAATAATAATAATAATAATAATAATAATCTTTATTTATACCCCGCCACCATCTCCCCAAAGGGGATTTGGGGCAGCTAACATGAGGCCAAGCCCAAAAATACAATACAGCAAAATAAAATACAAAACAACAGAAAAATTACATCACAACAAAATACATAAAGTAACAAAATAAAATAAAGAGTGCAAAATAACATAATAAAAGTCGAACACAGAGCGCGGGACAAATGCACAAGATAAAATGATAAAACCCTGGATGAGACAGGAATAGAAAAAGTGTATTTGTGAGGAAGGAGCCCAAGAAGGAGGAACAGCAGGGTTAGATCTTCATTAAAGACAGGGGAAAGTGCATCAGGAGGACAGCTGTAGATGGAACAGATGAATGGTCACTCTCCAAAGGCAGATCGGAACAGCCAAGTTTTCAGACCTTTCTTAAAGGCTGCTAGGGTGGGGGCTTGCCTAATCTCACCAGGTAGCAAGTTCCAAATACTAGTTTCCAAGGAATTATTTCTTCAGGATTGTCTGTACTGAGGAGGAAAGGGCCAAATTCCTTCTCCCTGTTCAGATTCACATCCCATTAATTCTGACCTCCCCAAACACTAAACTGATCTCATCTGCAGGGTTTCATTTTTTACAACCTACTCATTAAAATGTAATGGGTAGATAGATGCAAAGAAAAGTTTACCACATTTAGTCATGTCCGCTTTTGCACTTAATCATGCTTGTTATGTCTGAACTGCCTGGCTGTCATCAACCTGGTACTCACCAGATGGATTAGATTACCATCTCCTATTGTTGACTGGGGATGATGAGGATTGCCATCTAGTGAATCTGGAGGATTCCAGATTGTTGCAGACTACACTGCACAAAGGCTGCATAGATCTGTATTAGTGTGTTGTATTTTTTGGTAAAAACCACGACCACTCAGAAATCAGAAGTGTTTCATTACATCAAACATTTTATGTAAAAGTGTGTGTTTGTGTACCTTAAAGTCACTTCTTGACTTATAGCAAGTAATACTCTGAAGTGGCTTTGCCAGTTCCTTCCTCTGATCTATAGCCTATACAGCACCTGGTATTTGTTGGTGGTATCTCATGCAAGTTCTAAGCAAGGCGAAGCCTGATTAGCTTTCAAGATTAGGCAAGAGCTGCTGCCTTTAAAGTATTTATATTGTTTATCGATAATTACAGTAGGGCAGTTTGTATTTCATAGGCCAGTCTGCATGCTTTTATAGGATTGTCAGCTCATAATTTAAAAGCATATTTAAAGAATTAATTATTATCATCATCCTCACTACTATTATTACTTCTGTTGTTATTAGTAAAGGTAAAGGTTTCCCCTCGACATTAAGTCTAGTTGAGTCCAACTCTGGGGGTGGTGCTCATCTCCAATTCTAAGCTGAAGAGCCAGCGTTGTCCATGCCTCTATAACACTCTGAAATCTATATGTCCTTTCTTTAGATTTTAGTGCAAAGAAAATCTGCTCTTGCAGGGAGAAAAATAAAAAGTTTTAATAGCTCATCCATCTGTAGTTTTCACTGGTAAATTGGGAAAGACTGCTAATCTTGTATAGCTGTAAACTAACGATTATGTGGAAGCAACTTTTCCAAGAGGGGATGAGATCATTATAAATTGGCAGACATAATAGTAATGAGAACCTAAAGGATTCATATTTCAGTATCCTTATGAGGTAGATGTTGGAACAATTTGAACTGCAATTACTCACTTGCAATCCGACATAGATAGTAATCTTCTGGGTAATCTGGGTTTCCTTAGACCAGGCATGGGCAAACTTGGACCCTCCAGGGGTTTGCCCATGCCTGCCTCAGACCCTGAGGCAGCTTCCCTCAACCTAGTGTCCTCCATGTATATCATATACCACAAGTTCCAGAAGCCCACAGACAGCATAGGCACTCCAGCATAAGTGGTAAGTGCAAGGTTGCAGAAGGCACCCTAGGAAATGTTTTAAACAATAGCTGATTCCTACAATTATTAAAATCACTTCAATTGTCATTGCTCCATCCTAAAGAATGCTGTGATTCATAGTTTAGGAAGATATTAACAAAGAACTCTAAGAACCTCCCCAAACTACACATCCCAGGAGAACGGAGCTATGAGATTAAAATTGTATCAAAATCCTATGATTATATGATGCAGATATTTCTTCAGGCATTTTTATCCTTAATGGATATTAGCTGTATTCGTTAAAACAGTAATAATTCAGGAAAGAGGTTTGGACTAGGAAGATGGCATAGGCTCCAAAGGAAATTGGGGGAAGAAAAATCCTCCTTCTGGGATGTTGTAGGTTTTTCGGGTTGTATGGCCGTGTTCTAGAAGCATTCTCTTCTGACATTTCACCTGCATCTGTAGCAGGCATCCTCAGAGGTTGTGAGGTTACCTCACAGCCTCTAAGGATTCTTGCCACAGATGCAAGCAAAACGTCAGGAGAGAATGCTTCTAGAACATGGCCATACAAACCAAAAAACCTATAATGTCCCAGTGATTCCGGCCATGAAAGCCTTCGACAATACCTAGTCCTCCTTCTGCCAGAAGGACAAATTAACCTTCTTTTATTGCTTTACCCTTTGGAGTAGAATACTCCAAGGATGTAGCTTCCTTCTCTTCTCAAAAGAAAAAAAATGTATTCTTCCATGTGTAATGCTTGTAAAATTAAGCTGTGGCTTAAAAGAATTTGGAGGACTCGTATCAGTTTACCCTCTTGGGATCTGCATCAATCCTAGCCCAGGACATTTTGCTGCATTAGTCAGAACAGCAAATTATATCTCCCCAGATCTATTTAAGATGAGGTACATAATTCCCAAAGACAGCCAAGTTATTTTGACAGAGAGGGCAGAAAATTCAATATTTAAAAGCCCAATAACAAATTAAAAACGCACAACAAGCTGCCCTTTCCTTACATTCATATCTCTTAGCAGAGGTGACTGCCTCATTCTGTCTAATAGTAGCCTGACATTTATAAACAATAACTTCAATTAGGACTCATATATTTGCCATTAGGCAGATTAAGGTGGCTATCTCAGACAACTCAACAGCTGGAAGTTGTGAGAACATACTGGAGAACAGAGCTGTGTATGTGTCTTGGTCTCCCCCCCACCTCGGGGAGACAGTGTGTGGTAGAAATAATAATAATAATAATAATAATAATAATAATAATAATAATATTTACCTGCACCAGAAAAGGTAGCTTGTCTATACCAGGCTAGACTTTGCCCTTTCTGTTAGGTAAAACACTGTCCAAGAAGGTCAGAGGGTACAATTTGTGGCCATAATAGCAGTCTTGGGGCACCAACATCCATCTGCAGATCGGCACTTTCCCCTTTCCTACTTTAAAGGAGTTTTGGTTGGGGGAAAAAAAGGAATGTTTCACAGGGCCCTTCTACACAGTCCTGTGATAGGTAACAGATTTACCTAATCAGGTTTATTTATTTATTGTGTCAGAAGCGAACTGGGGAAAGAGTTGTAATGTATTTAAAAAGCGATTTGCAACATGCAACCTAATCAGGTAAACCCAGATTAATGTGAGATTTCCCAGTTTATTCCACATTAATTTGACACCTGGAGAGATGTGGACCTTAAGCTAAGGTTTTGGGCCTGTGGGATTGACTCCTAGGATGGGTCAATCACCACAGTCATCCTGGTTCTTCAGGTTCCTGGATGAAATAGTGATTTTTCCAAGGTAATTTAATGGGGTTCATTGTTGGGCAAGGATTCAAATCCATGTCTCCACCTGCTTTAATATTGGAGCCTCTGGTGGCGCAATGGGTTAAACCCTTGTACTGGCAGGACTGTTGATCGATAGGGCCACAGGTTTGAATTTGGGGAGAGCGGGTTGAGCTCCCTCTGTCAGCTCCAGTTCCCCATGCAGGGACATGAGATAAGCCTCCCACAAGGATGGTAAAACATAGAAAACATCAGAATGTCCGCTGGGCAACGTCCTTGCAGACAGCCAATTCTCTCACACCAGAAGCTACGTACAGTTTCTCAAGTCACTCACAACGAGAGAACTAATCAGAAATTATTATTACTGTCTCATCCTTTCTTTTGGCTCTACTCTAAATCAACTCCTTGTTTGATATTGAATATGTAATGTTTTAATATTTTCAAAGCAGAGTATTTAAAGCTGACTCTCCAGAGTATTTTTCAGATGACTTTTCTGTTACATGGGGACAACACATTCTAACTGTGTACATTGGCTTAGAGTCTAAATCAGTGGGTTTTAGGTTAACCAAACTAAGTCTGGGCTCACCTAGCTGTTTCCTCCAACATATTGCAGCAGTGGAACACTTTTGGCACTTCAGCTGTTTTGGACTATAAATTCCCCAAACCCATGGGCTATGGTGGCTGGAGTCTGTGATAATTTGAAATCCAGTTTAGTCAAGGATTCCCTCCCGCTTCTTACAAAGAGTCAGATTTTTGAGGTTGGAGTACATTGTCTACTTGAGGTGTCCTTTTACTAATAGATCTGCACATGTAGGATCTCAGCGAATATTGCAAGCTCACAGCCAGGGTTGGTTTCACAGTCTGCTGATTCCCTTAACAGGAATGTTCACCTTATGCAGCTCATCTATATGATGCTGAAAACCCTCAGACACCACTTCGGAACCTCCCTGGCCTTTGCTTCGACTACTGCTCAGAGTTTCATCACTATTGCCGTTCTGCCATCACTTTGCTTACGGATGACAAGCACATCCAAGAATGCTGCGAGAGGAACAAGACCCGCTTTTGCAATCTCCTCAACATCCAGGATGAAGACTATTGCTTTCCTGATGTGCTGAAAAATACAGATCTTAATCGCAACTTGGGGTCTGTGGTGGCAGACAGAAAAGGTTGCCTTCAGCTGTGCCTGCGCGAGGTGGCCAATGGGTTGAGGAATCCGGTGCTGATGCTGCACGCCAATGACAACACCCACCGCATGTTCATAGCTGAGCAGGTTGGCATCATCTGGGTCTTTCTTCCAGATGGAAGTCGGCTGGAAGAACCCTTTCTAGACATTAAAAGCTTGGTATTGGCCACCCCCTGGGTTGGCGATGAGAGAGGTTTCCTTGGCATGGCCTTTCACCCCAAATACAAAGACAATGGAAAATTCTACATTTACTACTCTTACCAGGACAAGAAAAAGGTGGAAAAGATCAGGATCAGTGAACTCAGAGTCTCTGCATCAGATATCAACAAAGCTGATGCGATCACGGAAAGGTAACATTTCTCAATAGGCATGCTTCTTTGCTGAGATGGTTCTATTTTTTGTAATTTTTTTCAGGTATTTCTCATTTTTATCCTCACAATCAACATGTGTCATGGTTTAGGCTGAAATGCATGAATCGAGGCTGTATATATCTTCCACTAAAACAAAAAATCCAATCCAGGCATTGAGAAACACGAGTCTATATCAGGTATGGGCAAACCCAGTCCCGGGGGCTGGATGCAGCCCCTTGGGCTCTTTTCTCAGGCCCTCCTCCTTCCTTCCCTCCCTCCCTCCCTTCTCTTTTTACTCCCTCCCTCCCTCCCTCCCTCCCTCCCTTCCACTCATTTGTCCTTCCTTCCTCTCTTCCTCCTTCCTTCCCATTTGTCTTTCCTTTTATAGTTCCTTCCTCCTTTCCACCATCCCTTCCTTCATTCTTTTCCACCTTTTCATCTTCCTTCCTTCTCTCTTTCCTTCCTCCTTCCCTCCCTCCCTCCCTTCCATTTTTTCCTTCCACCCTTTAGTTGTTCCCTTCTTTTCTCCCTTTTGTCTTTCTTTCCTTTTTCCTTTCCTTCCCCCTTATCTCACTCCCTCCCTTCCCTCCCTCTTTCTCCTTCCATCCTTCCCTTCCACCCTTTTGTTTTTCCTTCTTTCTCTCTTTCCATCCATCCTTTCCTTCCACCCTTTCATCCTTCCTTCCTTCCCTTTTGTCTTTCCTCCTTACCTCTCTCCCTCTTTCTCCTTCCATCCTTCCCTTCCTCTCTTTCGTCCTTCCTTCTCTCTTTCCTTCCTTCCTCCCTTCCCTCCCTTCCATCCATCACCAGGCAGCCAGTCCTCCTAGCAGGGARTGCTAGCATGTGGCCCCCAAGTTAGAAAGTTTGTCCATGCCTGGTCTATATCTTCTAATTCCCCCACCCCCCAGCCTGACCAAGGGTTAGGAATGATAGAAGTAATAGTTTTTCATCTTGAGGGGCATTGCTCCTCCAGCTTTGATCATGCAAATGTGTATTATTTACTATCAAATGTTGCAACCACTTTATAGAGGTGGGGAATATGCTGTCTTTCAGAGCTCCAGAGGATGGTACAACTCTCCAAAGCCCTTAAAGCTCTCCACCTCTGCTCGAGTGTCTATAGCCCAACATGATGTCCGCTGGACCAATGCCTTCTAAGAAAGGAGTTACTTGAAATCCTATTGTAAATATTTCTCCACTTGTGCTCAACTGCTGGAGATGTGCAAGAAAGCAGAAAGTGGTATCAGTGTGCACAGTTCTTCATTCACACTGCAATAGAAATGATCTGATGCAGAATGATCTCACATGAAAAGCTCTCTAAGCCCATACAGATAATAGTGGTGTGATACTGCTCAAGAGTTGTTCTAATCTGCTATCTGGGTTTCTTTCTCTGCTTTGGCTGAGGATTGGCAGTGGAGGACGTGTAGTCTAACAAGGGCAATGACCTGTTCACAGAAGAGACTGTAAGTGATTGCCCCCTCTCCCCCGTCACTGGTATGTTGATGATGATAGCAGCAGTCTCCTGACCCTTCTTATTTCCTGAGAGGACAAGCTGTGGTCCTCACAACGTCACTATGCAGCCGATAGATTTCAGCAGAAGAACATCATCATCAACAAAGGAATATTCAAGTAGCCTTTTGCTTAGTCTAGGAAAAGTTAAACACCAAATATTATGCAGATAAAATGTTCTGTTTAATGAATAAATATTATAATTTTGAATTAGGAAGGCCTTGAAACTCATCCAAAAGATGCAACTGTCTGTTCCACCGATCTCTTTCCCCATATTTGCTGAATTATTATTATTTTCTTCCACTTTAGGAACCTCTTAGAGATTGAAGAACCAGCTGCAAATCATAATGGGGGACAGATTCTGTTTGGCCTAGATGGTTATATGTACCTGTTTACAGGCGATGGAGGGAAAGCTGGCGACCCTTTTGGTAAATTTGGGAATGCTCAGAACAAGTAAGCAACACAACTTTCCAAAAATGATAATTTCACTGTGATTGTTCCAAAATTCACCACACATTTCAAAAGGCCATGAGCTCCACTTGATTAAATCAGGCAGCCAAAATACACTTTGACTCAAGGGCTTGTTAAAAAGTATCTTCTTTGGGATGTTCAGTTGTCTTTTTTGAAAAAGGGGGAAAAAGCAGCTGTCAGGAGTGTTTGGTTTAAGGTGAGATATGGTGAGGGGAAAAAACCCACACCAAATTGATCTCCTGTTGGGCTTCTAACATGCATTTGTCCAAACAAACATTTCAAAAACATTTAATACCACATGGAACTGCTCTGTTCTGGAAAAAGAGTTATTTTAATTATAACAATTCAATTTAATTATAACAATTCAATTTAATCATAACAATTGACCTGGGCGTTAGCACAGCTGGTTAATCACCAGCAGCAATAGATCTTACAAATTGAAAGGTTGGCAACTCGAAGCCCGGGTTGGGGTAAGCAACCTTCAGCTCAGCCTACTGTCCACCTAAGCAATCTGAAAAAAGCTGAAAAAAGCTGTGAGTAGAGAAATTAGGCACCACTTAAGTGGGGAGGTATTTTATGGCACCATAAAATAAATACCATATAATACCTCTATATGTTGTCTGTCCTGTCTGCTTAATGGCATTGAATGTTTGCTGTGTATGTGTTCTGTAATCCGCCCTGAATCCCTTTCGGGATGAGAAGGGCAGAATATCAATGCTGTAAATAAACAAATAAATACATACATACATACATACATAATTATAATAATTTAGAATTATAATAGGCTTTGCTGTAGCATAGGGAAAAGAGGGAATTGATAAGGATTAGGAGTGGTGATAGCTTCGTTTCAATTTCCCCTGAAGACATATCTGTTCTTCACACTGTCCTTTGAACCTTTTTTGATACTTACTAGTTTCTGATTTTAAAACTTTTATTGCCTTTATCTGTTAACTGCCTCAATTGCTATTTTTTAAAGAATGAAAATGTAATTATGAATGAATGAAATAATAATAATTATTTTATGCCTTGATTTTCCCCCTCAGGAGTAGTTTATTAGGAAAAGTTTTGCGGATAGATGTGGATGGAAGAAGCTCTGATGGGAAGCCTTACCGCATTCCTCCTGACAATCCTTTTTGCTCTGACCCTAAAGCTCTACCTGAAGTCTATGCCTATGGGGTGAGGAACATGTGGCGATGTTCTGTGGACAGAGGTGACCCACTCACTCATAAAGGAAGGGGGAGAATATTTTGTGGAGATGTTGGCCAGAACAAGTTTGAAGAAGTGGACATAGTTGTTAAAGGTGGAAACTACGGCTGGAGAGCTAAGGAAGGTTTTGAATGCTATGATATCAAACTTTGTCAAAATTCATCCTTAGGTAAAGAAATGACTGGTTATTTTTAATAAGTTCCTTGAAATCACATCTTATTTGTGAAAATATTTGGTCAGCAGTCATACTGCAGATGTAATTTGTTGTGCATATTTGGGAAGTGTATAGACACTTCATAAAAATATTGTTATGTGCATTTTAGTTCTCCAGCAAACCAATGAAGAGGTGAAAAATGAAAGTGGTGAGAGATATGAACTGAGATAACGATGTTCGGAAAGGTGTTAAATTATTTCCACTATATTTTTGAAGTGTTTTAAATCCATGCCATCTGGAAATGGCTTTACTAAATAGGCAACAACCAACCAAAGATCCTACGACACTGTGTATGTTCATCCAGATGTTTTGGATATCAGCTCCCAGAGTCCTTATCTCATATGGACAATAGTAGGGGAAAGTGAGAGTTGTAGTACCTAGGTTATATGTATTAGTGCAGAGTTTTCCAAACTTTTTATGTGATACACTTTTTTACACATGCATCATTTCGTGACATAGCAATTCTATTTTACTGGCAAACCACCTTATAAGAAATGTAGCCAGACATAAATTTTAACAAAACATATCCAGAAAGCAAAGATGCTGCAAAAAGACCAGAAACAAAGGGAAAACAATATCTTCAAAAAACAAGCATAGTATTGAATTCCTCCATGAAGTGGAGGCCCCAAATAATATTAAACCTAGCCACTCCTTCACAAAGCTGCAGCTGTGACTTATGAGGAATTACTAAATGGCACCTTTGCACAACACAATAATGCTAATGTGTAATACAGGGATGGGTATTGGGTAACTGTTGTTTCAGATACTTTTGGATACAACTCCATAGCTAATAGTAATACATTGTAATCCAAAGACATCAGGAGAGCAATAGTTGGTCTCCCCACTATATCACCAATATAATGTATTTTTTTCTCCTAGTTCTTATGAATCTAGTGGCCTTATGCTCTCTTGAGTAAGAATTTGATGTAAAATAGCTTTAGAAAATGTCAAATTTTAACATCCCAGTCATATGAAAATCATTTTTTTTCACTCAGCTATTAAAGATTCAGGAGCCTTGACCTCTTTTGCATATGGATATACTTTATACTATGTATTGTGTGGACTGAGATAGCAGTATGAGAAGCTGAGGAAGAAGCTGGTTAGAATAGTTAACGCTCATGGATTATCTTGAAGTACAATCTCCGTTTTTAGGGTGGAGGTCACAATATCTTCTCCTGGTCTGATTGAAAGCTCTACATTACTGAACATCAAACAGATTCAATAGACACTTCTCTCTTGTAACAGATGATATACTTCCAATATTTGCCTATGGACACTCTGTGGGGAAATCAGTCACTGGAGGATATGTCTATAGAGGATGTGAGTCTCCCAACCTGAATGGCCTTTACATATTTGGTGATTTTATGAATGGGTAAGGAAGACATTTGATGCCATTCATTTTAAAATATTTTTTATTGGGTTCTGATACACATTCATGCAATTTTTATGTTCAGAATTTTCCAAATTCTGTCCTTTCCACTAAATTTCAAAAATCCAGTACTGGGCTTTTAGGCCTTTTTGGTTTACAGTATTTGTTTTCTGTTAGTATTGATGGCTGCCTAGACCAGTGTAGCCTTCAACTTTTTGAAACCCATTTTTAATCCAAGTATACATTTTGGGACCCATTTTGAAAATTTTGTTACTTTATGTTTGTATGTTTGTGCTACAGCTCAGCAGTACAGGGATAACCTGCTGCCCTTCATATATTTTGGACTGCTGGTCCTATAATTTCCGAACCCCTATCTATGTTGGTTGGAGCCAATGAGTTCTGTAGACTACATTATATTGGCTGGAGTCACACTGGCAACTGGAGGCTACCACATTGCAAACCCTTGTGGTATTGGGTCTCAATATGCCACTTGAAGACCACTGTCCTAGTAGACCATCTAATGGAAAAAGGTGACCATGGCAAATTACCTGGGTGCTTTTGCTCCCAAAGACATTCAGTTGTTTTTTTAAAACCTTTTTATGTCTTAAATTAAGCTGCATCCCCTACCTTTGATCTTGACAACCATGTTCATGTAGGAAAGGGAGGTACGTTTTTGCAAATTCTGCAGTGTCTTCATGACCATCTGCCCAGATATGGTCATGAATAATTGGATAGTGAATGACCTCACTGTGGAGCAACTTAAGACAGACCTCACTGTAGAGATTAATGTAGTTCAACCTTTCTCCAGCACCTATTCAGCATAGGCAGTGGTCAAGATTATGGGAGCTGCAATCTAACTTCATTTGGTGGGCTATATGTTTCCTGCTTCTGGAGTACAGAAATAGGGTGCATATACTTTAAAGTCTTCCTAGCAATGGGAATTACCAAAAATACTTTAGGGTCATTGTGGCTTAAGCTTACTTCTGCTGAAGGAAGACTTGTTAAGATAGGGTCCAGGGAGGGGGTCCCCTGTTATCCTTTCCTTACGAAGAATGTACATTTCCCCCTTAACACTAAATTCCATGGAATTATGAAACCATGAAACATAAGGTTTTCTTTTTTTCATCCAGGCGACTTATGGCTTTGCAGGAAGATGAGAGAACAAACAAATGGAAGAAGCAAGACATTTGCATTGGTAACTCTGTAACCTGTGCTTTCCCAGGGCTGGTCAGCTCTTATAGCCAATACATTATCTCCTTTGCTGAGGATGAAGCAGGTAACATTTGCTGCTGTTGTCTTTTGTCTATTGAAATTATGTGATGGATGTTGCAACTTGTGTCAGTCTTAATTATGTAGAAAAGGAGTGAGCAATAGGGATGGTTTGAAAACCAAATTTCTGAGGCCACACAAACTGCCAAAAATGTATGTGTGTATGGGTAGGGGAACAAAATTTTTAAAAGATATGATTGTAAACAATTGATATATTTTGGGAGACAGAAAAAGAGTGGGCCAAGAAATTTGGAAGGACCAAGGGCCACAGAAACACCCTTGGAGGCTGTCCTTAGCTCAGCTCTGATGTAGACGAATTGCAATCCCCTTAACCTTGATTCTAGTTGTGCCTGAAACCATTCATGTCAATGGTTTTCCCTCTCTATTTGTTGTTTCCAGGTGAACTATATTTTATGGCTACATCTTATCCCAGTGCCTATGCTCCACATGGCTCAGTTTACAAATTTGTGGATCCTGCAAGGTTGGTACTTTTTAATTCATGCCATCCCTAAGGCATACATTATTATACTGAATGTTGATAGATTGCCCAATGACACCTATCAACAGTTTGACACCACTTGAACTGCCATGGCTTAATCCTATGGAATCATGGGAGTTGTAGTCTTTTTCCTACTCTGTCAGAGTGCTAGTGCCTCACCAAACTACAAATTCCAGAATTGCATAGCATTGAGCCATGGCGGTTAGGTGGTGCCAAACTGCAGTAATTTTACAACGTAGATAGAACCTAAATCAAAAGGTCAGTCCCAACCAGGGTAGACATACTGAACGTTGTACGTCAATGGCTATTTAAGTTTTGTTGACACCGTGAAACTGTACCATTTGAGCCTTATTGGGCTTTAGGCTGCAATCCTATGCCACATCCTTGGGAGTAAGCATCATAGAACCTGATAGTGCGTGGCTCTGAGTTGGCATGTCTAGGATTTCAGAGTCAAGCCAGACATGTATATTTTTCAATGGGCCCATACTAATGGGTTCTGCTTTTTTGAATAAAAACTAACATTCATAGGGTTACTGTGAGTTTTCCAGGCTATATGGCCATGTTCCAGAAACATTCTCTCCCGACGTTTCGCCCACATCTATGGCAGGCATCCTCATAGTCTCACAGCCTCTGAGGATGCCTGGCATAGATGTGGGTAGAACGTCAGGAGAGAATGTTTCTGGAACATGGTCATACCGCCTGGAAATCTCACAGCAGCTCAGTGATTACGGCCATGAAAGACTTCAATTAACATTCATACTTTGCTTGATTTAAGTCCTGCCTTTCTAATGCAGCAGTACATTGTGACCTTCAACAGACAGAAGCTGCTATTGCACTCACTGTGGAGCCTTTGCTAGGTATTTAAGTAGTTATCTTTAGAGTTCAAAAATATTGTCTTTTTGCTTCCAGCTTCCAGAATTCCCCAACCAGCATGATCATTTGCTGCGAGAGTCTGTGAATTAAGGTCCAAAAGGGGGTGGTGGTAGAAAGAACTCTGTTTAAGATGGTTTGCATGCAGTGCAGAGTAAGAAAATGCACTTTTCCAGATTATATGGAGCCAAATACAATTGAATATAATTTAGTATTAAGCCTTCCCACAACAATATCACAAATTTTACATTAAATTTGAAACATATGTTGTCCCAAAGTTCTGTGCAACCAATGAGGTTCTAGTTTTGGACTTGATTGAAGGATTCTTCTGCCTGTGCTGCCCAGTAATACTGAAATAATTGGATACAGTCTTAAAAACCTAAAAAATAACAATATAAATTCAACACAGTCTTTCTCTTAGTTCAACTGATAAGTACAGCTGCTTCTTAATTTGGTCCACACACACTGGACCAAATGAAGAATTCATAGATGTTACAAAACCAATTTGTTTGTTGTGGAGCATGACAGTGTTCCTATATGGTAAGGGAGGATAACAGGAGCCACTACACCTAATTCTTTATCTTCTTTGTATGTCTACAACTAATTCTTGCAGTTATTACAGCTTGTGAACATTGAGAGAATCCTGTCCAGGGTCCACCATAATTTAGAGAAAGAATTGGTCAGATGCCTGTTTTCCATTTCATTTACTTTGAGCAATTCCTATTTTTATGAGTATTTTCACATATTCTGCCAGACAGCCTTCCTAAACTAGCACCCTCCAGACAAGTTGGAGTACAATTCCCATCATATTCAATTTGCATGGCAAGTGGTGCATGTGAAAGATGCAAGTTCAGAAAGACGGCAATAGAAAATCTTGTCTTCACTGGTTTCCCAAGGAAGGTTGGTTCACAGTTTACTCTAAGAAATCCACCGTCTGGAAACCAGATGAAAATGCATCTTTGTGTGGTACTTATTTTGGTTTGTATTTATTTTAAAATTGAGACTGAGCGTAGAATTCGGCTGAAATTCAGGAAGACGTCTAGTACAAACAGGAACGCTGTTGACAGAAATTAAATAGGTAGAGGTTCCAAGTAATTGCAGGCCACATTAAGAACAGCATAAACAAACCATATTTTCATATCCTCTGTTTCTTTATTTCCTTTTGTCAGTGGGTATCCAGAAGGCAAATATATTAAACATTAATCAGAGCATGAAATAGGGAAGTATTGATCCCATCTTTCAGAGAAATACGGAGGCTTTCCTAGTACAGGAAACAACCCAGAAGATAAATAGAGTACAGCTTGTATTTATGACATTGCTTCTCTGCATGATAGATGGCTCTATACCAATGCTAAGGGACATTTGGACTTCAAGCTGTTTGAGATTACACTTTCAATATTTCTTTACCATTGGGAATGCTGTTTGAGGCTTCTGGGAGTTAAAGTATACCCGGAGGACCAACATTTCTCACTCCAGAATGCACAATTGACATGTATTGTATACAACGGTGCCCACAAGGTTTGAAATGTGCTATCATTCACCAGGCCAGGTAGGGCAAGTTCAGTTTACCTATCTGAACACATCTCCCTTTATGAGCCAGTTAGAGCACTAAGATAAGCTGGGGAGGTCCTGTTCTTGGACAGGGCCTTCTCAATGGTGGCCCCTTGGCTATGGAACTCCCTCCACAATGAGATCAGATTGGTCCCTTCCCTCCTAACGTTTAGAAAACAACTCAAAACTTGGCTTTTCAAGCAAGCATTTGGGGAGTGAAATGAAGTAGTTAAATGGCAATCTTGGGATTGGTGCAATGTCTAATGTTTTATGCTTATGTCTATGCCCAATGTTTTACAGTTTTAATGGTTTTAATTTACAGTTATATGTTATTTTAGATATGTAATGTATTTTACATTTATGTGAGGCATTGAACTTTGTCATCACTATGTTGTGAACTGTTTTGAGTCTCCCCAGGGGTGAGAAAAGTAGTATAGAAATGAAATAAATAAATAATGATTATTTTAAAATGTGTATTTTGTTTTAATTTATGTTATGAGTCAGGAGAAAGACAGGAAATTGACAATAAAATATGTGGCTGGAGTGATGGGAGTTGGAATCCAACACAGCTGGATGGTATCCAGTTGGAGAAGGCAAAGATGGGATCTGTTTCTGAAGTCAGCTGTTGTAATGAAGAAAGTTCCTTCTGGTTTCCTGCCCTCTCCCCACCCAAGAGAGCCTCCTGAATGAACAGAGAGAGGCAATATACAAGCTGCATCTAGAAAGAGTGTCAGAAGAAACCAAGCTTTTTATCCACTTTCAGGTGTCCACATATGATATTTGTGATTGAATCTGTTTTCTAGGAGAGCTCCACCAGGGAAATGCAAACAGAAGCCTGTTCCAGTGAAAACAAAAAGCAAGCGGATCCCATTCACCCCACGCACAAGTAAGTCAATAGTGTTTGGGTTTTTACATTTTGTTTTGACTCTGTAGTACAGATGCCAATGCATACTGGATCTGTTTGTCATTTATTTATACAAACGTTTTATACACTGTCCTTCATCCTTATGGCTACTGGGCTGAGGTAGAATAAATATTACTATAAATAATCTTTATAAATACACAATGTAATAAAAATGATAAAATGAAATCAATTGCAACATGTGGACAGTATCATAGGTAAAGGTTTCCCCTTGACATTAAGTCTAGTCGTGTCTGACTCTGCGGGGTGGTGCTCATTTCCATTTCTAAGCCAAAGAGCTGGCATTGTCCATAGACGCCTCCAAGGTCATGTGGTCAGCATGACTGCCTGGAGTGCTGTTACCTTCCTTCCAGAGCAATACCTATTGATCTACTCACATTTGCACGTTTTCAAACTGCTAGGTTGGCAGAAGCTGGGGCTAACAGCAGGAGCTCACCTCGCTCCCCAGATTCAAACCACCAACCTTTTATTTTTTTCTAATTCTTTATTTTCAGTCTAGCTATAAAAATGCATTACCTTATTACTAGCCATCTCTCTCCCAGTGAAGTGTTAGTGTGGTAGGTGAAGAGTAAATTTGATCCGAAGGGTTCTAAATAACATTCATTATATAGTGGATTGTACATGTCCTCCCCCTTCCCAAAATAAAATTGTGATGGATTTTCCTTATGTGGTACAATTCTAAATTTGAAGGCAGTCTGTTTCGGAGCAATTCCAGACATAATGATAGAGTTGATAGTCTATGGGAGTGTGCCACAAAGCAGTCAGTGCTGGCCTCCTTAGTTTGGGTACCACTGCTCTAAAGCTGTGGTGATGCAATGGGTTAAATTCTTGTCCCGGCTGAATTGCTGTCCTGAAGGTCGGTGGTTCGAATCTGCAGGATGGGGTGAGCTCCCATTTGTCTGCTCCAGCTTCCCATGTGGGAACATGAGAGAAGCCTCCCACAGGATGGTAAAACATCTGGGCATCTCCTGGGCAGTATCCTTGCAGACGGCCAATTCTCTCACTCCAGAAACGACTTGCAGTTTCTCAAGTTGCTTCTGACATGAAAAACATTGCTCTAACGCAACCATGGGAAAGCTTTGGTGGCATCTGGAGCCATCTAGGAATGGTAGGGAGCTGCAAAAATAGCTATAAGGACCACAAGATTTTAAAAGAAAGGATTCCACAATTAGGGTGCCACAGCAAAAAAGGCTCTTTCCTATACATTAGAACTTCCCAAACATTTCGTGTTGGTGACACACTTTTTAGACATGTATCATTTTGCATCACAGAAATTAGGTTTTACCAGCAAACAAGAGTTTAAAGCAGGCATGGTCAAACTTTGGCCCTCCACTTGTTTTGGACTTCAACTCCCACCATTCCTAACAGCCTGAGGCTGTTAGGAATGGTGGGAGTTGAAGTCCAAAACATCTGGAGGGAGAGCCCAAGCTTAAGTGGCTGAGGGGGAAAAGGAAGGGGCCTGAGGTTGTTAGGAATTGTGGGAATTGTAGTCTGGAGGGCCGAAGTTTGCCCATGCCTGGGTTAAACCAATTCCTTATCTATATACATAAAAATGTAATTTTTGTTTGTGGGATTAACATTACTCAAAACCCACTGGATGAATTGACACCAGATTTGGATACAATACACCTATCAGGCCAACAAGTGACCATCACTCATAAAAACACTGAAAAACACAGCAGAAGAGACTTAAAAAGCCATTTTTTAAAAAAAAAATACAACGCATGCGCAAAACCACATATATACGCAAACATACATATATACACAAATATATACACATACAAAGCACATATACACAGACTGGGCCACATCAATGCATGGCAGGGGATGGCTAGTACAATATAGGGATACATTCATAAATTGCAATAATGAAATGTATCTCATGAAAGCCTGTACATCTTACACAGTGCAGTTTGGAAAGCTCTGCTATACATTATGGCTTCTCTTTTGACTTTGTTCCCCATTCTTGGTACAATATGGAAGGGAATGAGCAGGGATTTTTTTTTGTTAAAGTCCTTATCAGTTTGGCTTCAAGCTAAGATCTGTGCCAAGTTAATTTGCTGAAATATTTGGGTGGGAAATCTGTTCACAGAGACCGTCCTTGAAGTTCTGAAAGAACGTCTTACTACGACAACGGAGCCTCCCAGAACAGGATTGAACTCCACGGATGCACCCCAATCTCCTAGGAAGTCTGTATCTCGCAAAGACTCAACTAAACACAAGCCAGCTAAGGCAGATAAAAAGCAGCAAACAGCCCAACTGCCCAAAGGGTCCAAGGCAAAAAAGGAGAAGAGTCCTTATGCGCCCAAGGCTGCAACATCCTCTCCAAAGCGAAAAGGCTCACATTTAAGGAGAGGCAGAAAGAAATCTCCCAAAACAAGGTCAGCAACTAAGGTTAAAACCCAGGCAAAGAAGAAAAAGAAAAGGAGGGTGAACCTAAGAAGCACGCTTTGAATGTATAATACAAGTCAAAGAACCAAGTGATTGGAAGGTAGATAGGATTGCTGGGAGACTAGTTTTCATGCAAAATATGTGCATATTCAACCATAGCATAACACTGCTACCTGTAACAGATGCAAGGCATACATTTAATTAAGAGCTTGACTGCTCCAAACAATGTCTAGGCTGTCACTTGTAGAAATCGGACTCAATGGCCCATTTTTTTCAGTTCAAATAAGTAATCACAATTTACTGTTATGCTCTACAACAGAGTGTTGTTGTATAAATGGTATTGGTTTTGTAATATTTGCTGATCATCATGGCAAAAAAGCAGAGATGGGATTCAGGTGCCCTAGGCATTTTTGTACTAAAACTCCCAGAATTCTCCACCATTCCTGATATTGGCCAGGACTGCTGGGAAGTATAGTACAATGTCAATAGGGTGAACTTACTCCTTGGAGAAAGAAAAATCTGACTTTTGTGGCATAAAATGATTGACTGTCTTAATTTGAAGAAGAGAAGATTGTATTGTTCACCTTATGTAAGCATTTGTACAACAAGAAACATAATAAACAAAATTAACCAGCTATTTGTGTTTTAATTGTCCTAACTGGGTACTTCTGATTTCTTTTATTCATACGCTACGGGAGACATCTCTTTCTCTCCATTCAATTAAATATCAGACAAAAATAAAGTTATCAAAATATGTCTGCTTCTTTGAGTTCCTTGTAAAGCGTTCAGTCAAAAGAAATGGTCTACTCTCCATCATGAAAATATGCATGCTTCTAGAATACGTTAAGGATAATAATAATAATAATAATAATAATAATAATAATAATAATAACAACAACAACAATAACTTTATTTATAGCCCTCCACCATCTCCCAGAAGTGACTCGGGGCAGCTTACAGAACAGCACATAACAGTGCCTTTTATATAATTTTTAAAGATAACATATTTTGCATTTGGCAAATATAAAGATACTTAGGTGATCCCTCCATGTCCAGGTATGATTGTTGCGATTCTGCATCACTTCTTCTTCTTCTCCTACTACTAGTAGTAGGTATGGTGCCAGAATAATGAGTCTCAACAATGATGGTCTTCCAAGTGTAGTGCCTTGGCGGTGGGTACGTAGGTAACTGTGGAGCCCTATTTTTGATTCACATGTTCTTCTGCAGTGAGGACATTGGTTTCCAGGTGGAAGGCAGTCCTGGTCAGAGTTGGCTTGACACGCCTTTCTCTTAGCACATTTCTCCCTTTTGCCCTCCATTCGTGCCTCTTCGAATTCCACAGCACTGCTGCTCACAACTGACCTCCAAGAGCGCTCAAGGGCCAGGGCTTCCCAGTTCTCGGTGTCTATGCCACAGTTTTTAATGTTAGCTTTAAGCCCATCTTTAAAACTCTTTTCTTGTCCACCAACATTACGTTTTCCATTCTTAAGCTGGGAGTATAGTATCTGCTTGGGAGATGGTTATTGGGCATTTGGACAACGTGGCCTGTCCAGCAGAGTTGACGGCGGAGGATCATTGCTTCAATACTGGTGGTCTTTGTTTCTTCCAGCATGCTGACATTTGTCTGCCTTTCTCTCAAGAAATTTGCAGGATTTTTCAGGGGCAATCTGATGGAATCGTTCCAGGAGTTGAGTGTGACATCTGTAGACAGTCCACATCTCGCAGGCCTATAGCAGAGTTGGGAGAACAATAGCTTTATAAACAAGCACCTTGGTATCCCTACGGATGTCCCAGTCCTCAAACACTCTCCGCTTCACTCAGAAAAAAGAGCTCAGGTGGTGTTGTATTTCAGTGTCAATGTCAACTTTTGTGAAATAAGAATGATACACAAATACACAGAACAAAGGTAAAGGCTTCCCCTTTCATCTCTGGCTTCTGGAGACAGTACTCAGCTCCAGCCATGGGGAGGTGCTCTTTCTCAAATTCCAAGCTGAGGAGCCTGTCGTCTGTAGACACTTCCTGGCCATGTTGTTGGCATGGCTGCATGTGTGCCTTTTATTACCTTCCCACCAAAGAAGTACCTATTGATTTACTCACATTTGCATGTTTTTGAACTGCTGGGTTGGCATGAGCTAGGGCAAACAGTGGGAGCTCACCCCAACCTGCAGCCTTGAACTGCCAACCTTGGGTCATCAGATTCAACAGCTCAAAGGTTTAACCTGTTGCACTAACATGGCTCCCAACTGTCCTCATGACTCCAGAGCATTGTTTTCTTTTTCATTGCTGACAACTTTGGTGTTTACAAAGAAGGAATTCTAAGCGCACTTTTTGCTGCTCCGCATTACATTCAGCAGCAAATACTTTTTAGGAATTCAGGGTTTTGAGAATTGAGATGCAAATTTGATTCGATGGTGCTTTAGACTCGAGTACATATGGGTATTTTCTTTTCCCATTATTTGGAATCACACAAATACAAATATTCACAGCTTTCTTTGCTGACATGCAATGCTGAGTGACAAGGCTGTCAATGTAGAATACCATGAGAAGTTCACAGTATAATGAGAGAAGTCCCTGAAACGTGTCCTCGCTTCTTGAGCTCTGACTGGACAACAAATCTCTTCTAAAAAAGGTATAATACTATTCTTAATATGTGTTCAACATTATATTTATGAGGAATATTATGTTTCTGTTCCTAGGCTCCAAAATTGATGTCCAATGTTATAGATCATGCATGGGAAAACTTGGACCCTCCAGGTGTTTTGGACTCCAACTCCCACAATTCCTAACAGCCAATAGGCTGTTAGGAATTGTGGGAGTTAGTCCAAAACACCTGGAGGGCTGAAGTTTGCCCATGTCTGTTATAGACAATGTTATGCTTTACGATAACCAAGCAGCCTTTCTCTTTACCAAGCTGGATGTCTCGCAAGTTTAAAGGACCTGCTTGCTCATGGTGGTCGAAGACAATTTTGAATTTTAGAAGAAAGCTGGGATATAAACTTAATTAACAAATACAAATAAAGTTTATTTTTCCTCCCAATTAATCTGCTGCCACTCACTCACAATGAAGATCCCTTGCTCTGCAGCACCATCTGCTGGCTGCATCCGGGAACTACACCTTAATACTGCCTCTCCTTCTGTTGAATCGCCAAACAATAATTTCCCGGATGAAATCGAATTATTATTTAAACTTTGGATGCATGCCTTCAAAACTAGAGCTCATCTAAGTCCTCCACCTCTCCAATTAAATCATAATAATGGTTTGCGCCAAGGAAGCTTTAGGGGCTTGGGAAATAATAAAATCACCCCCCTCGAGCGTTTTATAAAGGAAAGAACCCGCGATTTATCAAACTCTTTACAATCAGTGTATTGTGTTGCACAGCTTTATATATATTTTAGAGATTTCCTTATTTTAAAACGGGGAAGTAAATGAGTAGGAAAAACACAGAGGCCCCAGCGAGGATCGAACTCGCGACCCCTGGTTTACAAGACCAGTGCTCTAACCACTGAGCTATGGAGCCACCTATCAGTTCTGCTTATACAAATCAATGGTACTGTGCTATTGGACTGACGCACTCACATTCCAAGTCTGGAAAAACCAAAGCAAAGGGATGGAGGGTGGCATTGCCTCTGGGTTTATATTTTTGTTACAGTTGAGATACATTCTGATTCCTGCAATCTCTGAACACGGAACTCTTGAGAGGGCATTGGCAAGGGAGCAATAAGCCTCTGGGAGGGAAGGGAGGCTTAGCCATCACAGGCCCTCCTCCTTAAACCACTGCTTCTTAAACTGTGGGTCCTTAAACTGTGGGTCCTGACCCCAAGTGGGGTCCCCCCAAAATTAGCCAGAGTCAAAGGTTTCTGTACCCCCTCCCCCTCCCACAAGTGACTCTTTTGGACATTTACACAACTTTGTTGTGTAATGTTTACATGAACTCTGTAGAACAGTGTATTGTCAAAGGCTTCCATGGCTGGAATCACTGGGTTGTTGTAGGTTTTTTCGGGCTATATGGCCATGGTCTAGAGCAGGGGTCCTCAAACTAAGGCCCGGGGGCCGGATGCGGCCCTCCAAGGTCATTTACCCGGCCCTCACTCAGGGTCAACCTAAGTCTGAAACGACTTGAAAGCACACAACAACAACAACAATCCTATCTCATCAGCCAAAAGCAGGCCCACACTTCCCATTGAAATACTAATAAGTTTATATTTGTTAAAATTGTTCTTCATTTTAATTATTGTATTGTTTTAAGTTTTTTTACACTACAAATAAGATATATGCAGCGTGCACAGGAATAATCCGGCCCTCCAACAGTTTGAGGGACTGTGACCTGGCCCTCTGCTTAAAAAGTTTGTGGACCCCTGGTCTAGAGGCATTCTCTCCTGACGTTTCGCCTGCATCTATGGCAAGCATCCTCAGGACCAAGAACAAGCCACGAGAATAAAGATGAAGATCCACCCAGAGAAAAAGTGTTCTTGCCATACATTTAATTATTTATTTATTTATTTATTTACTGCATTTGTTGACCGCCGTTCTCAGCCCTAGGGCGACTCACGGCGGTGTACAACATATAAAAAGACAATTTACAATGAAAGCAATATCATAAACAACAATAACAACATCACTATTAATAATACCATTACACTAAATCATTCGCGACGTCTCATCATAGAATCACAATCCAATCTCGTTATCCATATTCCGTTCCACTCATCATTGCCAATTTGTTGTAGCACTTAGTCAAATGCCTTCTCAAACAACCACGTCTTTAGGCTCTTGCGGAATGTCATAAGGGAGGACGCCTGTCTGATGTCTACAGGGAGGGTGTACATCAAGGGAACCACTGACCGCATAGGGAAGCTGATGAGGAAACACAACATACAAACTATCTACAGACCCACCAAGAAAATCCAACAAATGCTTCGTTCAGCAAAGGACAAGAGGGATCCTCTCACTTCTGCAGGAGTCTACCGTACCATGCAGCTGTGGACAAGTCTACATAGGGACCACCAAACGCAGCATTGCCCAAACACGAATCAAGGAACATGAAAGGCACTGCAGACTACTTCAACAGAGAAGTCAGCCATAGCAGAGCACCTGATGAACCAACCTGGACACAGCATTTTATTTGAGAACACAGAAATGCTGGACCACTCTCACAACCACCATGTCAGACTACACAGAGAAGCCATTGAAATCCACAAGCATGTGACAATTTCAACAGAAAGGAGAAAACCATGAAAATGAACAAAATCTGGCTACCAGTATTAAAAAACTTCGGCTGTACTTCACAAAAAGGAAAAGCAGCCTGCAGTGCTTAGCAAGTCTTGCACGTGCTGATTTATTATCACTAAATGTTTGATTTTTTTTATACCTGTGATATTACCTATATATCCGGAGTCATGTAAAAATTTCTCAGGCAATAATAATAATGATAATAATAATAACATGCCCTGGCAGAATATGTCAAGGAAAGCCAAGAACCTGCTTTAATTGAAGTCAATAATCAGAAACTTCTCAAAGCACAGCAGACAAAGAATCAGTACAAGAAAACAGCACTACAAACCAGAGCTGGCAGCTGGCACAACAAAGCATTGCACGAGCAGTTCCTTGACAAAATTGAAGGAAAAGTTGATAAGG